AAATTAGGGTTTTTGTTTATATTGTTTTAAAATTTTTTATCGTTTAGTAAACATTTTTTTACTTTGTTTTTTTTTTCTACTAAAGATTGTGCACAGGTGTATACACAAATAGATTAACACAGAAATATAGATGTATACGAGTGTATATTACATAAATAAGAATGACCTTAAGAAACTATCAAACAAAAGAGTACGTCACATTTTCGAAAAATAAACATGTGTGTTTTGAAATTTTTTCTTCGTAGTTTTTTCACACTTTACCGTGCTTTTTGACTCAATAAATTCATTCGGTATTGATGCAGTCTATTTTTCGGACATTCGTGGCGAGACACTTCAAAAATAAAATTCTTATTTTTTCACTTTGCGCTTTGAAACACTTTTTTGTGTGTCTGCATAAACATACATATATGCTCTATACGTACATATACAGGATTTCTTTGATGATTACTATTAAAAATTTATTTCATTATTTGTTAAGTTATAAAAAAGGGGCAAGATAAGATACGAAATATTTAGAAAATTAACTTAATTTTTGCTTTTAATATCAACAAATTCGAATACACGTACATAGGTACATACATATTTATTTATTTATAATCATATGAATTATTTTGAGTTGAATTTGGAAATATTTCACTCCCTTAGAAGAGCGAGGTCTAGCAACATTATACAACATTCTATTTAACGGCAAATAAAAATATAAAAAAAGGTTTAAATTCTCACCCAGTGAACGGGTTTACATCAAACTTTGTCTGCATATTTTCTGCCAAGTCTTAATGGCGGTTGGAATACATTCTTCTTCATTTTGGAGTGCAATGGGAAATAGTCGCGATCCTAAGTATGCAGTTATGATTGCAAGCTTTACCCAATTTCTACGCTTGCGTTTTCGAAACACACCCTGGAAGCGTGAGCAAACCTTGGACGAGATATTGTAGCCCACCCGTGTGGAGCCTTGGGTTAGGCTAAAAAGAAAGAGCGAAAGATTTAGTGGAATCACGACAAATTCGACTAAAAGTCACTGAAGTATTACTGCAGCGAAGCGGGTGTCGGGCTTGACGCAAGCGGCTCGGGCTCGTTATATAAAAGTAGTTTTAAGTTGTAAATACTAGTTATATACGCCAGCTTTAGGACCAGTTGCATAGCATCCAGCTCCTAAAATTAATTTCGCCATTTCCGAATCATAAGAGTTTAATTTTGAAAATTATTTTAACATTCTTATATAAAGAAAAATATTTCCACAAGAAGGAGCAAAAAATTTATTTGTATATGTACATACATATGTATGTACAAATACAATGGGATAATGTGTTTTTGACGATATAGACTGTAGTTCGCGATGCACTTAGAGGTCGTTTGAGGGTATTTAATTTAAAAAATGCTTCTTTATGAATATACAAAAGAAAAGTGACAATGCTTAATCCCGGCCATTCCTTGGCGGTTCCTAAATGGGTTCTCTATGTTTATATATGCATGTATGCATGTACATGCGACCATAGATACTAAAGAGTATATACAATAGTTATAGTATTCAAAACTATGCACTAATGAATGCTGTAAGAGAAGTGAGTAGTTGCACACCCGGGCTTTCTCGCAATTCCCGAAGTTTCCTCCAAATATTCATTTATTTTTGTATTCCCTTTTCATCGTTTTCGACTTCTTTCACTTTTTTTGAGCGATAAAATGCATACACATACCAACATGCATACATACATAGGTAAGTATACATATGTACATATGTATATACATCCATAGGTATATCAAGTCTAGAAAGAAGGGACAAACTTCGAGTCCTTTATGTACCAAGAACATACATACTCACATATGTGTATGCATACATACATAAGTACATGTATATATATGTACAAATTTAAATGCATGGTGTATGGTGTAGATATATACATACCTACATCTTTAAACGAGATACATTAATTTAATATACATACATACATACGGTGCTATTTTATGGATAAATAAGTACTGCGCTGCCAACAAATAGAAACAACAACAGTATAAACCTTGTGATATTTAATATTTGCTTGTGTATGCATATTTATATGTATATGTAACGCACACACTCAGCGGCGCACAGCATTTTACGCAACAAATACACCCTCACAATCGAATTGGTATTTATGGCGCCTCTGCGACAAAACTATTCATCGCTGCGTTGCTGCTTTTGGTTTTTGTTTTGCGCCCATCTCATCTCTGCCAAAGTAGTTGTGGATTTACCTCGCGCCCTCCCAAGCGCTGCCGAGCTGTGGGTTCGTTTGATTACAGGCGCCGACGTCCGCGCTGCCGTCAGCACTGTCAATTACCCAACGAGGCAAGCTCCGCATCCCGCTATGAAAGCGAGTTAGCTGCCTTGGGCTCATGTGATTCAGCTGTGAGGGAGCGAGAGCGCATAAGAAAAGCCAGCTTAACAACTTAAAAAGTTGCTTGCAGCAAAAATGCAGTCGCAGTGAAAAAGCGCATTGCACACACCACACACACATAGACAAATCAACGCACAAACACATACATATTAAGCAAAGTGGCATTTGAGTAGCGCAAATTATTGGGAATAACATTTAAGTAAAATCTTTGCCACGGTAGCAGCAGCAGCAGCAAAAATGCCAAATACAACGATGACATCGGACTGGAGAGCAAACGCTCTCTAAGTAGTGCTCACGGCTCGTAAGTTCGGAGCATGGCAGCCATTTCATAGCACAAATTAAGCAACGTCAATTGAATACGTGACCAGCAAGCATACACATACATATGTTTGTATGTCACATATGTGTTGTTGCTGTTGTGTTCTCGGTATAATCATTCGTATTGCTTCATTGCTCGCTCCCTTTGGCTCTCGGTTTTTGGCTTTGAGCGCACAGAAATCATCAGGCATTGTGTTTCATTTGTTCACAAATGCCAACCGGATCGCACATGCATTCATACGTCCATAGGGTGTGTAGCTGTGTTTGCCTCGTTTGTTGCTGTAGCCCAACTTTGTTTGTAGTGTAGCAGCAAAATTGAGTTGAGTGTGGCCAAAGCCAAAGCACAGTGGAAAGCGGTTGAGCGTTGTGAAACGATATCGCGTTGCCTGATTCTTGCCGTCGGTAGTGCTGCCCGAAAGCATACACTGGGACCTCCCGAACGCCATCTCGTTTCTGCGGCTAAAATGGCCTCATTCACTGCCGCTCGCTCGCTTTTTCACGCGTGTTTGATTGTATGGCCAAACACTCTTACATATATTCATCGTTTGGAAGAGCTAGCGAGCAAAACCTCTACTGGCTCTTTGGGGCTGTGACACGCAGAGCCATATCCAAACCAAACCAGCACACAAACTCGAAACGGATACACAAGCACAAACGCATTCGTTCGCTCATTCAAGTGTGTGTATCTCCGCATACATACAGCTGTTGGAGATAATCGTCGCAACTGCGTCTTATTTCTTATTGCCTTTTTTGCTACCTTGCTACCAAGCAAAAGTAGCTGATTGTTGGTTTGTTGTTATTGCAGTCGTTGTCGCTTCGTCTTCCTCGCCAGCTCTCGCGACAAACTCTCTTTCCTCGGTCGTACTCACAGATTCACGCGCACACACACTAACACACTCGCACACAACAACGTCAATGACTGCCATTTCTGTCGCACTCGCTATCCACGGATCACTACATCTCTGTCGATTTCGTGCACAAAGGCCTGTATGAATGCATGTGCGAGTGTTTGTCTGCTGCTAGCGTCTGCGCATGTTTTGTGCAACTACCATAATAGTTGGAGCTCACATCATGGCCGTACATAACGCCAAGGGTGTGCAAGTATTTGTGTTTGTGTTTGTGTGGCTGTGTGTGAGAGAGCTGCCAAACTGCTGTAGTTAGTATTGCATGGCTGCTTCTTCGTAAGCTCGCTGTCGCCTCCCCCCAAATACCCTGAATTGTATTTACCATACCATGAAAATATATTTGTATGTATATGTATAAATGTATGCATGTAAGTAAGCCTTTTTCCTAAGAGTTGAGGCAAAATCTGGTGAAATTCTTCTGTTGGTCGCTTTCAACTGCTGTCGCGGCAACTCTCAATGTATATACATATACATATATGTATATACACATACATAAACTTTGAATAGCTGGTATTTACGTAAATGGATTTATATGTATGTATGTACATATCTATATTAGAGATTCTATTGTTTGAAAGCTGGTTAACTTGTTCATTTGTCCGCTTCGCCCGGCCATTACATTTGTATGTACTTACATGCAAATATGTAAGTCCGAATATACTTATCGCATATGACTATTACGCCGTCACTCGTCATTTGTTTCGACGAACTTTAAATATACATACATATATACAGGCATGCATACATATATCGTAAAAAACGTACATACATGTGGCCGAATCGCATTAGTAGGGCCCTTAAGTGCGAACTTTGTATTCAGCCAAAGCCGAGCGGAGAAGTTAAATTGATGTTGTACTAAGAGTTCTTTATGCGGAAGAAAGTAACAAACATTAGGAAAATAAGCTTGAGAATAGATTCGTTCGTTGATTTTTTAAGTATTTAATAGCAGAGCTATGAAAGTGTCTCACTACTTTCCAACATATATATGTATGTACTTCCAAAACACAGATATATTTCGAGAAACGGATTTGATACGAATTCCTACGACGGACATAATGAATGTGAAAATTTATCAGCAGGCTTTAATCAGAATTCTCATAATTACATATACATACGGATGCGCAGAAAAGTTGCCTAACCTCTAAAAATCGCCTAATATTTTAATAAGAAAAGTAACCGGTTACAGAGGGTTTCAAATGAGCCTTAGGAAAAGTAGTTAACGAAAAAAAATTATAATATCTAAGGAGATTATTTTCTAGCCCTAGGCCAATGCAATGAAATAATGTGTGTAAACTCAAACTAAAAATCTTACCCGTTATTTTTCTTCTTAATTTTACTTAATTTGCTTAAAAATTTTCTTTAAACACTTAACACAAATTTTTGATATTCATTTGAATTTTCTTACTTTTGTTGTGAGCATATGAATGGATTTCCGTTTTTTAGATTTTTGTTTTGTTTATTTGTCTTTTCCAGGCGATCGTATCTAATTTTAAGTGCTGTAAGTAAAACAAAAAGTATTTAAAATTAATGATTTATTCAAAAAATATATTAAAATGATTAGGGTTTTTTACATTAAACATATTTATTAGTGCAAAAGCTTAACACGAATTTAAAATAACCGTTTTGGATTAATAAAAAATAAAAAAATTTTAATTTCGCCTTAAAAATTTCAATTTGATTATTTATCAAATTATTATTGTATTCTACTAAGTGCATTATCTAACGCACCTAAAAGCTTGTGGAACAAATTTTATAATCAGAATTGGCGAAAATGAAAATGTGATAGCTTCTTAAACTTTTTTGTTAATAAATAATATGCATACATATTATAACATAAAAATTGTCAAATAATAAATATTAAAGGAATATGAAATAAAACCATAATAATAAAACAGAGCAAAATGTTCTCATCGTTTCTAAATTTTTTATAGAAAATTAATATTTTCACTAAGTCCGTAATATACAGCACATCTCTATCAATCTAAAAATATCTGTGAATACCTATATTTTACATTTTATACAAGAAATATAGAGTATTGGAAGCACTTACCGTTTACACAGAGTTCTGGTTTTCCTATGGACTGTTTCTGAAAATGTATTTTCGAAAAACCTCCATATATTATATTAATGACAATGCTCGTAAAATCCGGTATTACATTTAAGTTGTATATTTTTACTTTTCATTATTATTATTATTATAGATTCTTAATTATTTCACATAACTTAATAGAACTGATGAATTCAATATTTGCTATAACATTTCCTAGTAATATTATTTGATATTTTCTTGTTTTATTTTTATTGCTTTATGAATTTATTTTCATAACATTCATATTTTTTTATCAATTAGTATTTATCTTTCAATATGTAATCACTATATGGACGGGGAAGAGAATTACAATATAAATATATTGTGATAATTTTATTCACACTTTGAAATGCTGTGACTACAAAACATTTCATTTTATCAAAACAATTCATATTATATACTACACATGCACATACATATGTATGAATGGATGTATGCATGTACGTGTATGTATGCATTTGCCCAACTTCAGTCAGGCACACATATAAGCACCCATCGATGCATTTAAAACGCACACTCATACACAAACATACATATGTACGTATGTATATAAACGATAATATATTTATTTATTTTTTAACGCATATAAAGCAACGATTTTGCTGCCTTCACATTAACATAGTAGTATTCAAAGCGCGGCCTTAGGTGGGTTGGCGCTTTAAAAATGGGCGAAATTTCGTAATTTCCTTTTTAAATTTATTTTTATTTCTATTTTTTCTTCATATTTGGTTTTATTTTCTTTTCATTTTTCTCATTGCATGTCGCGTCAAACTTTCAACATTGTTGTTGCCATTTTATGCACACATTTGCCTTTAATTGCGGTTGTTGTTGCATTTGTTTTATCTTTGCACTTTCCAATGGTCAAGTATCGGGTCGTTTCACGTCGTCGATGCGCCGCGCATCGCTATACCGCCCACCGCGCCGCTATGCACCGACACTGCATTTCTGAGGGTACGAACGACCGTTTGTACATACATACATACATACATACGAGTAAATGGGTATTGCAAAGAACAGTGCTGCGTACCATGCCGGGTTGCATACACCCTACTTTCGCACACAACGACCGTCGCCGTCTTCGTCGCCGCCGCGTTTACCGTACGTTTTGCACATTTTAACCGCCGCGCGCTGTCAGATACCTTCGTGCATTTCCATACTTGATCACACACACTAACATACATATATGCAGAACTCACCTACACATACACAAAGATATTTATATACACACAGAGGGAGCGCGGGAGACTCAGCCGTACTTATGAAAACTGCGTTCCGACTTATTACGATTTCATAAATATATATATATATATATATATATAGATATATATTTATATACATACAAATGCACGTATCTTTGTATGTATAGTATATATATTAGGATATTCCTTTGTTTTATTTATCTAAATCGGATATATGTAAGTTCATGCAATTAATGTTGAAACTTCCGTTTGGATTTTATTTTCTATCACCATTCTTCACCTTTTACTTTGCAATTAATTATTGGTGTTGTTGTTGCTGTTACTGGTGCTGGTGCTGCTACTTCTAAATGCTGCTGCTGCTGCTGCTGCCGTTGCCGTGGCTGCTTCTGCTTCTGTTGCTGTACAAGTGTATACAACAATATCTACCGTATGGTTTCCAAGACGAAACACGCGTAGCGATTTTGCGATGTAAACTCATCGCGATTAACTCAGTGACTGAGTTCAGCTATCGCAGGCCAGCAACGCCAGAGAGTGCTATTCGAATCCGTCAGATACTTGCCTTACAGGGTGCGCTGCAACAAATCTACCCGCAACTGCTCTCCACACCAATTTAGATGCTTTTGCAAAATGTGCACTTGGGAAACATATATTCGTCACTTCTTAACAATTGTTCCTACAAATAGAAATCTTTAAATTTCACATGTCAGTCAGTTAAATCGTTAAATAAACATTTAAAAATTTTCAGTGCATTTTTTTTAAATCATTTTATGTAATATCCTATGTTTTCAAAAGTAGTTGAAAATAATTAGCCATTCAAATAATGGCCAATGTATCTTTATATATGCATAATGGTAGTGAGAGTCGCACCCTGTTGTATCGACCCAGCTGTGTACGTGTAATCTCCGAGTTGCTTTGGTGTGAGCGTTAATTGCTAAATGCTGCTGCGCTCTCACTGTGCTCTCTGTGACACGAATTGAGAGTTGAGTGAGCGGAAAAGTATCTATGAGATATTTTGCCGCTTTTAATTTGTTTTGTTTTTTTAAGTTTCCTAGTTGAAGTAATTCTTTAAATTTTCTAAATATACCTGATTTCTATTTACATACTAACATTTATTTTAGATTTTAGAAGCATTTGTTATTGTATGCAGTGAAGAAGCCCTTTGAGTACTTTTCAAATTTTGAAATATATGATATTGGCCAAAGAGAAGTTTGCAGTTTATTTATATTTAGGCTTAAGAGTTGACTCTCTGTTTTGTTCGCTCGAATAAACCGCTTGCCAGCTACATGGGGAAGATTTAATAAAGATGTTTCACAATTCGGTATGATGCGTTCGGTAAGGCGATACCTTAACGAGTATTTCGTTAAGAACTGTTATTGTAAGCAAGCAAACAATATGTAAGTAATTTATTTTAAAATATTATAAAAAGTAATTGTTATATTAATAAAAAATAATTTAGGACAAATGCAAATGAAATTAACGTGGCACAAAGGGAGTTCATCACTGAATTCATGCGGTATCATCCAAATTTAGCAAAAGAACTTCTGCCTGACTGCACACAGGGTAAAGCAGCTGCTATTGCATTATGGGAAGAGTTGAAACGAAAGCTCAATATTCTTGACCCGACTGTTAACGAATGCTTCTTTGGTCATGCGAAACCTTTACGTTGTACGTGGTAAATCTAATGGGTTACCTTGGTCTCTTAATCGCCTCCTTACAATTTATTCATCGACATCACTTTCGTCGGAAGATAAAAAAAAGTGAAACATCGATCATAACAGATAAAGAAAAAATCTTTTACATTTTCAAATAATTACGAACCGTTTGTTTTCGTAGGGCATTATCTCAATAATTTTATACGATTTATATACATACGTATAAGAGAATTTTTTATTGTACGACTGTCGATCCGGCCAAGGGCTATCACCCTTTGACGACCCCTATTTGTAAGGCTGCAACTACCCAACTCACTCTCCAGCCGTCCATAACTGACGACGTTAGTAGTGAAATACATACACGAGCTATCGACGCCGCTGAGAGCGGAGAAATGTTGCCAGCTGCCTGTGTGTTTGCACACTTTTGAACAAATTCATAATTTTCGTCAACGAATTTCATAATTTATTTGCTTTAACATAAACACAAGGCAAATATACATGATCTATATAGTAACAAATAATTAGTTACGCATTTAGTTTTCATTTCTTTTGAACAAAACTACGCATTATCTTCGATTATTTAATGTTACTTTAAGAAAGGCTATACTGGCAACCTTGTATAGCAACGAAAAATGAGCCGAGCCGGTTTTACGGAAAAATCAAAACTTCGTTGGTTTCTGCGACACAAACGTCAGCAACGCTATGGTAAATCGGTGACAACTTTGTGTTTACATGTTACTATGGACGGCTGGTACGCGCGTTGGGTAGTTGCAGCCTAATTCGTGTCTCACTTTCATCTGAGACTTTTCTGTAATCTATCTCTATATTTCTATTCAAATTTTTTAATTTTCACACATTCTGAAATTCTATTAGCGAATATGTAAAAGAATGAACCCTAATGATCGGAGTACTTTCTTTATTAACATTTTCCCTTTTGAAATAGTATTAACTCAAAGGATTTAACAGAGGTTTTATTTCTTAAGGCTCTGCCTCCATCGCCGTCCGTTTTCCTTTTTGTATCCTCCTCAGCAAGTCTCAGCATTTCTGGCAATGAAAGTGCCGATATGCAAAAACATTTGTGTGGTAAGAACATTGCAGAGATTACTGCTGTACAAGTTTAAATATGCAATCCTTGACGACATTAAAAAAATATTATAATATACCGAAGATAGGAGCTTTCTTATTCAGTCTGGGAAAATTTTCTTAGGTGGAATAATTGTTACAAAGCAGTTTTGAAAGAAATCGTAGGAATTGCAGAACAGTTATTTTAAAATCAACTTGTATAATAGCTGGTATTTTAAAAAAATTTCGGTTTTGTCAGCGTGAAGAGCTTTAGCCAAACACATATTCAAATAAAAAGTATGGAAAAACATTTCCTTACAGTGTACAGAAAACGAGTTCTTCTCAAGACCCCTGTGTTCAAGCAACACCCTGTGTGTAACTAACACTCTGTACTATTTTTCCATGATTCGTCAACTAGTAATCATTTGTGTGAATTGTAAAAAATAAACAAATTCGTGGCACATCCTACCTGTGTCTAATATTTCAATATTTTAAATCTTTAAACATGACGAACTTGAAACAGGATCTTGATGAGTATTTGCTTTTACAAAGCGATCAGAAGAAGAACTTCAGTGCGAAAATTCCACACATCAAAGTACCAGATTTGGGAAAATTGTTTACGCGTTCAGAACCAACTGAGCCTAGCAATAGCTGGCTACAAGACACACAAGACAGTTGTTGTCCTAAATTGGTATTTAGTTTTTTTCGCATAACATATTTGTCAACCATATATTATAATTTTTTTTTTTTATAGACACGACTTCAGCGTATTGTCGGCTTTGTCGCTTGCCTGGGTCTGGGTGCTCTGTGCTTCAGTATCTCCGTATTCTACATACCAGTGTTAATATTGAAAGCTCGAAAATTTGCGTTGCTTTACTCCTTAGGAAGCATGTTTTTTATTTTAGGATTTTGCTTCTTGTCGGGCTTTGGAGCCTTCCTTAAGACTGCATTTTCAAAGCCGCGTATGCTGGTTTCTCTTACATACACAAGTTCATTAATAGCTACTTTATACTGTGCGCTGCTTGTACATAGCACAGCGTTAACTGTGCTTTTTGCTGTGGCACAAATAATTGCTCTTCTGTTTATGATTGTCGGTACCGTCCCAGGAGGTGCATCTGGCATTAAATTCTTTGGAAAAATGTTTAAGAGTACAGTAACAAACACAAGTACACTGCCCGTTTAGATTGAGAAAAACTTCGAAGATTTTCAACTCGGGCTCATCACATTATTAAACATACATATCTTCTCTTCAGTTGCTATTACATACATACAATTATTTAAATGGTTTTTTTTTTTACAATCATATATATGTAATATCTAATTATTAGCCATTTTAATAACTACTGTTCAATTTATTACGAAAAGTGACTTTTGTGATAATATTAAAAGAAGCGTTTGTACATTTTAGGATAGCTGATATTAAAATAAAAAGATATGAGTACCAAGTACTCGTAAAAATGAATTTATCTCTTGAAAAAACTAATATGGTTCAATGAACTTGTATTGTGGCCCTTATATAGAAAATCATCTCGTAGCTTTAATAAGCACATTTCATTTTAAAGACCAAACCTTAAAACTTATTTTAAGATTTAGTTTTAGTTGTTTTTTTTCCTTTGAATAAGAAAGCTTAGTTAAAAAATATTTAATATTTAATTGTTAAAATATGAGGGCGAGTCCATGCTAAAAATAGTTTTAACAATGTATGGTCTATTTTCAAGTCATTAGAATAACAAATGAGTTTCAATATTCAAGTTGCATCTTATACCTTTCTATCGCTTTTAGGCTCAGTATGTTACTGAATTTACATTGTTTGAATTAATAAATTTTACTGATAGAAGCCGCGACTAATCATAACGAGGCCGAGATGATTCTTTGTTGTTTTCTCTTATCTCGTCATTGTTCAGTTACACAGTATACTTAAAGATGAAACTTGATCATATAAGCACTCATAGAGCACAGAATCCGTCAACTGAATCTCCGCTCCTTGAAATTTCATTTCCTCGTCAATGTCAAGCAGTTAAAAATACACACTGGCATCAAAATAATTAAAATTATAAATGCAACAGATTCGAAGTAAAACTAGGTCTGAATATATAGTATATATTATCCGGACATAAGTAATTATTGAAGAAACAGAAAGAAATTTTCTTGTTTTTTACTTTTTCTCATATGCTTCGGAGAGCCATCTACACAAATTGACTGATCGTATGCTAAAGCAATTCTTATGTATGTCCACGGTTTCTAAGTATGCATAACTGAAGCATTAGTTGCTTTTTTCTTCTGCTTTGTTTGACATTTGTTGTACAACAGCAGCAAACAACAGCTGTGGGCAGTATTGCTATCTCAGTTTAAAAACGGCAGTGGACGAATAAAAATGTGCTATATTTATTAAAAAATTTAAACAATCGGGGGGACAATAGCAAGTGTAAAATTAAACTGAGTAAAATAAATATGTTAAGTATATAAAATAAGAGTGCATTCATAAAGAGTTTAGTGACGGAAGAATCGCAAATCTAATACAAGCTTAAGCGCATCTTACGGTGGAGTAAATTTATTAGCGAAAGGTACTAGCGATATTACTTTCATTATAGCGCAAAATTTCGTACTTGAGTTGATAGTGAAAAAAATATATATTAAATTAAATTAATGGAAAAACACACTTTATGGGTCATAAAAGAATAAAAAAATTTCGTGCACATACAGTGTAACATTTGCGTTTGTATGCACAGGCATACACATGCTTTCAAAAGTATACGTTCATATACGTTCGTACATATGCATGTATAATACATTTATCGCTTCTATATATTTATGTATGTATATATGCATACATACTGTTTTCCATGAGTGTCGAAAAAACCCAAAGCTATCTGCTTGTGAAATATAAAAAAATATAAAGTTTTCATGAAGGTTGTTCTAATATATTATATTGTCTAACAATTTGTAACAACAATAAAAATATATTCGTAAAAATGAATAATTTACAAGTAAAACTCAAATACAGCAATAAAGTTCCGCGTACCTATGCATACACATGTATGTATGTGTACAAATATCTATTTATTTGTACGAATGTGTAAAGAGCTTATTCGTTGGTCGTTTAAGCTTTGCTTTGGATAATGTATATACATATATGTATGTACATATAAGCATGTGCATACAAATTATTAGATGTGTAGCTTAGAAAATATATTCCTCACCTAACATGAAAACAGTGATATACTTACATGCATATCTAAAATTGTCATATTTTATTAAGTTATTAATTATTAAGCTAATATAAATTGTTTTTATTTGTAAACAGCAAATTTCGAGGCAATCATAAAAACAAAGCAAAAGAACAAATAAGCTGAAAATGTCGAAACAAAACCCAACCGCGTTTAAAAGTACAAGTGATAACAAGGCAAGGGAAGATATACGCTGTGGCAGTGACTCTAGTAGTGCTTGTGGATACAAACCAAACATAGTACATTTAGATAATTCAGAAAGTAAAGAATTCAAAGGAGGTATTAACGTAGAAGATCTGACCCACGGCTCGGATTCAGGATTTTTATCTGGCCCACAAAGCTCTTTATATGACGAACAGGAGGAGTTAAGTCATAGCGCCATTGGAAGTAACGACTTCAGTCAGAAAACATCAAAAATTGATAGTATAGAATGCAACATCAAGAATTCTTCGGAAATATTGCTACAGCGTCATGAGAATAAAGAAGAGGAGGGGATTTATGCTGTTGATTCTGGTTGCATTGAAGAAGAAGACGAATACGAAGAGTCCCCCGATTCCGCTGCCAAAGCCGAACGTCAGTCCATCATCAAGCAGCATATCACTCTTCAAAACCAACCGCACATCACAACGGCAACCAGCAATAATAATACAAGCACAAGCGAAAAAATGAAACTCAAGCATGATGTTGACAGTCATTTAACTGAAAGGTTTTCAAATATTAGTTTACAGAGTGGAACTGTAAATAATTTAAATGCGTCGGGCAGAGCCACAAATGCGCAAACGGCACCAACAACAACAACAACAACAAATAAGATATCAGAATCAGAACAATTACCAAACTGGGAACAATACTTTCAGCAAAATGATGACGGCGACACGTAAGTTCTTACCCGAATTTTATAAACTTCACTTTCATTGCATTTAATGGTACATTGACATATTTGTATATGTGTGCCCACATATTTAAGTTGTTGTTTCTAACCAGGTAGTTCCTGTTGCATTAGAAATGTACATAGAATAAAAATAATTGTTTGTTCTAAAAACAAGTTTTCGGCAAGTTTTAGGTTAAAGTCATGAATGAAGGTCATTATTGCATCCATACACGGACCAACATATTAATATGAACCTCTCTTTACAGCTATCTACATTTGGCTTGCATAGCAGGACAAGAAAACATAGTAGGCGCTCTAATTCGAGTCGCTGGAAATCCCTATGCACTGAACATAAAAAACGATTACGGCCAAACCCCATTACATTTAGCTGCGCTCTCAAGGCAAAAAACAATTTTACGCATGCTATTACTTGCCGGTGCTGAGGTATGTGTATACATAGTGCGGAATTACATACATTCTTTTTTATATATTATACCAATACATATGTACATACAACAGGAAATCTACGTAGAACTATTGTACTTTAAATGAATATATTTTTGGTGATTCTCCTTACAGGCACATTTACGCGACAGTCGTGGAAATACAGCATTGCATTTGGCTTGCATGTCTGGAGATGTGCAATGTGTTAGTGCCTTAACAGTTCCATTTAGCTCCGAAGAGATCAATGAAGCTCAACGTCATTTTGGCTTTAGTCAAAATAAACAGTTGAGCTACGCAGAAATTAGAAACTATGATGGTAAGTAAAAAAAAAACTCCCACTTTATTTATTATTAAAAAAAAAAAAACAAAACGATATACATTTATGTGTGTATATACATGCATACTACATATATTATTATTTGAATTTTTGTTCTTATTTATTTCAAATTCATACGCTACTTTTTCGCATCGCAATTCGTTGCCAAATTTAATATATTCGACATTTACATAGATATCTTTCGGCTAGCCAGTGATACAGACGGTTGTCATGAGAAATGTTCAAAATTATTTAATAATTCATAGATATTTTGCACCAAAAATAAATATAAAACGAATCGTTAATGCGCAAAAGCGTATGGCTGAAAATTTCTATTATTGGTTGTAGATTTATGACGCAAGAAAAGCAGACCACCACATCTAAACATGAATATTTTCGCCTCCATAGAGACTTTTAGAAAATGTGTCTAGCAAATTTCCATTTCCATCTTCACACATGTTATATGTGTACGAGTATCTACACATATGTACTATACATAAATATAGTATGCAAATACGAATTTATATAGAAATAAAAATAAGCAGAGACCCAGTTGGCTCTCCCATTCGATGTTGTTAAATATAATACATTTTTTGGGGTTTTCCCATACAATTCATGCCTGTACGAAATTTCGTTCGGAAAGCTTGTGCAGAAAAGAGACTGCGAAACTTTCGCACCAAATGTTACTGTTACGTTAAATGCTGGGAATTTTAAGTTTTTATGTCCATTGCACATATTATGCATGTATGTTTGTTTCTTTAGAAAATTGCTTGAATTTAATATGTGAGTTCTGTACTTTTGTATACATCGTTTTTCTGATGATGATGATGATGATATAAGAAACTATTTCTGCAAACAAATCAGTAAAGAATTCCACTCGTTCTATGCACAAAATGTTAGCAATTATTATTTACTGTTTGAATTCATTGTATTTATGGTATTTGTGGTTATGGTTATTGTGAAGAAGTTCAATATTCGGTTACCAACGGCTGTTCGAGCTCACTGCAGCTTTTCCAGGATTAGTAAATTCTATATTAAAAAAAAATACATACCCACATGAAGATATGTATAAGTTTAAAATTCAATAAATTTGGTTTAAATAAATATGCGTACACAAGCATATGTATGTACATACACGTATATTGCAAAAATTCAGTTAAGCAAATGAATAATTATTTCTTGTTGTTGCAGTTTAACTTGTCGCTAAAATCTAAAAAAAATAAACACCGGACACGTCTTCTATTTAGTTTGCTCTGCTTTTTTGTCAGTTTGTGTTTAAGTCGAAATTACCGGATTTGTTTGTTGGAGGCAGGGTGTGTGTTTGTCTTAATGGCTTGGTTTATCCGCAAACCAAAGCAAAAGAAGAAAAACCCATTTAAATATGTTTGAAATATGCGTGGTTGCGCGATGCCACTGACTTTTCTGCACATATGGTAGCTGCAGAGATATATGCCAACATACGTATGGACATACTATACATATGTACTCATGTATTTATTTATATTGTATCCCAGCAGAAAGTTTCTAGGTTTGCAGAGTTCATGCCTGTAATAGCAGCACACCGATGTTATAGCAAACTTAATGTATCTTAAATTGGCTTCCAAGTACCAATTGAACCACAAGTCAATTTAAAACGCGTTCAATTAAAGTTCTTATGCACATTCAGATATTCTTAGTTAGAGCTTATTGCCTACAGTTTTAAGACGTCTCCGATAGGCTTATGTCAGAAGTACGCTATGAAAAAGTGAATTTATTTTCACGCTTCAAAAATTTTCTAGAGGGACATGTTTGCTGGTTAATGGTAAGAGAGAATGTGCTATATTTGAATAAGTTTTGACTCATGGAAACAGGTTTTTAACGAACTTTTACCAAGTAAACAAAAACTCTGGTTGTTAATGTATAAATCAATTTCGTAATAAGCGTTAGAATGTTATTATATGTACATATGTATATGTACATGGAAATAAAACAATGAAAATGATATACATTTTTATAAACAAACTTACGTATATAATATTAAGAGTAAGATTTTTATAAATTAAAACCAAAACCGCAAACAGTGTTCTTAGTATGCATACATATATTAAATAAATGATAAATTTTATTAGTGGGAGTACTAAACAAATATACATACGTGTACATACATGCATGCATGCCTTTACACATATGTACTTATATATGCTACAGTTATTACAATAGTTTTTTGTTGAACTCTGTAGTTTTTCCGAGGACTTGGCTATCACCCAGACTTTAGTTTTATTGTATTATTTTTTTTTTTGTTGCACTGGTTGTTGGGGTTTTCTGTTATTCATAAGCAGCCTTAAGCAAACGCACAGGTTTTAACGCAATTTTCTCCATGAATCGGCACAAGCAATATAATGTTGAATGTCAAATGCTTTTGTAGTTGATTTCCTTTATTTTTTAAGTAAGCGTATGAACGGAAAAACCGCGCTTTATTTGCTTTCGCTGAGTGTGCAATTGTTTCAATTGTTTTATACTTTGGAATTCCATACTTTTTCAGCTTCTCAGTTAACGACCCAAACTGTGCTATTTGAAAATTTATTGACATGTTTACGTATGTACATAACAGCTGTTAGTCAAAGGCTATCTTATCATTTCTTAAAAAATACCCACATTTTATCTCGTTAATGCGTAAATTCCATAAAATGGAATGGTGTCATCGAAATTACACTCATCTACAGGTATGACCACGAATATGAAGAATTGCTGGATTGATTCGCCAGGTTTGTGGTTTTGATATTACAATCTATTCATATTGTCCGAATGGTCGAAAGGGCTTTCCCGTTGATAATCTGTTTGTTTCTCAAAAAAGCGACTTAAATGACTTTGTTGAGTAATGATGTTCATTATGTCAGAGTGATTAAGCACATGTGCATACTCGTGTGCATTGTGAATTAAAATTTTTAACATTCAGGAAATAACGCTACATGGGGTTATTCATGCGCAACTCATCGCATATACCTATATACATATGTATGTATGTTCTAAACTACATAGAGTAATTTAACGCGAATAAAACTCAATACATATCTATACATGAGTTGAATTGAGTTGATGCGGCAGCTGGGCAAACCCCAGCACACTTAGGCATATAGGCCCATTGTGATGCCGCTGAGGCTCCTGCCTTCACCTTCTCAAATGATCGAATCTTAGTGCCTTATAAAGGAAACGAGATTTCCAATGTTCACGCTGACTCGAGGCAGTCGAAGAAGTGTTTCCCAAGAAACTTGTGTCGCACGGATTTAGATTAGACGCTCATCCCTATTCCGTGAAGCCCCATGAAACAGTGTCAAGTTATTATACCCGCCGCGTACAACTTCGGCCATATCTGTCTGGTCACGTTACACGTGATCTCGTTCAACCATGGTGAGTCAGCTTCCCATGTACTTAGCCGTCTATACATACATGTGTGAATATATTATTTTTAAATTTAATACATAAATTCAAAGGAGCAATAACGATTTCGACCTGGCAGACGCAGATTAGTCAAAATTAAATTGATCTGATTATTCACTGTTCAATTAACTAATCTGCTTTCAGTTAATCAGCGTATTTAATAGAACTAGTCTAGTTGTAAATTAACTCACATATGTACATATATCTTCAATGAGTCTATACTGCCGATATTTTAACACATTTACTGTGATATCAATGCTTTTAAGCTCAAATATGTCGGAAACGCATAAAACGTTATGCCAATTCATCCATTGTTTGGACATTTTGGCTGAATTTGTTTAGCTTTTGTTATACTTAACGTTTAACCAACCTAACTCACACTTGTGCGTTGCTGCTTTTTGCCTTACTTTAATATGGGAATTCCGCTGGTTTTTCTGATCGTATGTATTACATACACACATTAAAAAATGCAGGCACGTTTATTTGATTGCCGTGGCTTCACTTTTGGCATAAATGTGCTTGTGGTTACTTGGCATTGTGTGGGATAAAATTGTTGAGAGATTACTCTTTGATTTCCAGCATATCCCAGCAAACCATTTTATTTAACATGTATGCCTAAAGCATATTAAATTTATCTGTTTCCAAAGTATTTTTCTGAAAAAAAAATTTACACAATGGCTAGAAATCGGCATGACAGCCATATTGTCATATTGCAAATGTGTGTGTATTTGCAAGCCACACTTTTGCCTCTACATTCCGTATTCGCTTTTTATATTACCTATTATTAAATCAGTAGATTAAAAGCTAAAATCGATCTGCGATACGATTGCGATCAAAAGCACACATTCATACATGCATTCATACGTACGTGAAGAGATTCGGGCGCTCAACATTCATTCATAACTGAACTATGACTTTTTTGATTTGATAAAATAGGGCTTCCAACTAACTTACTTGCAAATATATGCGTCAAGTATAAATAATGATGATAACCTTTATTTAAATTGAAAAATCAAAAATGACAAAGTTGCAGTTCGTTCATTTATACTACAATTCCCCATGAGCAAATGTCTGCCATTACTGTAAAGCATAGTATGTACATATAATCCTATAAAAACAAATATACCTACATAAAAAACATATGTATGTTTGTATATGGAACAATAAAAGTTACTTATTAAGTAATTGCTTGTATAAAATATATATACATTTATTTTTATATAATATTTTTAACATCTTTCAGGTGAATACTGTGTTCATTTAGCTACCGAAGCTGGCAATTTGCAGATACTAGGCACTCTAGTACGATTTGGAGCCGATATCAATGCAAGAGTAAGACCTTCACGATTTCATTTTTATTTTAGGATAAAAAATAATTTATGTATTTGTTTGCCTTTGCAGGAAGGGAAAGGTGGATACACACCACTACATATCGTAATTGAAAATAACAACGAGGAATTGTTCAGTTTCCTACTTAATGACTGTAAATCCAAACTCGATGTTGAAACAACAACTTTCGGCCGACTGACAGCGTATCAAATGGCATGCCGCATGAAGAGGTCAAAAATGTACAAAATTCTAGAAAAATATGGCGCAGAACCTCTTTCGCCGCCAGAGAGTGAATATGAAGAAAGCAGCGATGACGATGAATTTGAATAATAAGTCGATAAAATTCATGCAATCAACTCTTCGGAATGTTCTATGTTTTAGTAGAGCAAATATTAAATAAATACCAATTGGTAACCTTACTGTTAAGGCGTTCGCATATAAATACATTTGTAAATACATGCACACATTTACCGCTGTAAGCAAACAGAGCAAATAATTTGAACAAAGAAATGTCAAATTCAACTTTCAAGCTTTCCTACTCGTATATATGTATCTATGTACATACACGTACATACTGGCTAATGCAACAGAAATTCTGTGCTTCCTTCATGCTTGCGGTCTTCGAGGCAAAAGTATATCAAATAGTTGAACTGAACGTAAAGTTTTTTTTATTTTGTGTTCTTTTCGTAAAGTATTTTTTAATGGTTTTCTGTAATACAAATAGTATACATACATATCTTTAAAAATCTGTAATACGAATATGTAGTGTATTTCAAGAAAATGTATCTTCAATTTCATGATTCTATTCTCTCTAAGTCATAATAGGCTATGTGTGTAATAAAATATAATAATAAGCATTCAATTTGATTAATGTCAGTTATATAGCGATTACTTTTATAATTGTAATCTGTCTGACATATAGAATAAAATGAATACTAAAATAAATAAAATTTGTGTTCTTTCAGTGGGTCCAAGGTTAGAATTCAAGCGAAAAACTAAATTTAGGAAACAGCAGGATATCCTAATTCTCTAAAATTTCGATTCAAACTTATCTTGTGCTTTGAGAGAAAGAATAAATTAAATAAATTGTCGTTTTTGAAGAAATTGAATTGATTTCCCAAATCCTTTTGAGCTCGATCACTGGATTGTTCAATAAAAGTCTTAAAATTTATTTTCCAGCTTTTAATTGTAAACATAAGGTCTACTAACTCCTAAATACAGATTATGAACTACACAACTCTACACAAATACCGTATACTCTTCATTACTTAACATCAATGTTGTCATCACCGAGTTCTATACCTTACTGAACATGATAGAAGTACGTGGTTTGTTCTCATAAATACGTCGAATGCGTCTCTTGAGTGTTCCGCTTGAATCAAACTTTTGATGACCAACATTCTATACACGAGCTCTATATTTGCGTTTTCGTTAAATTAAATAGTATATACAAGGAGACTTTAGAAATTATATTGAACTGTTTTATATTTTTCGTATGCCAAATAGTAATATTTCGTTGAGCTTGATTGCTGCAATAAGAGCTTCTATGCATCAGTGCATGCTCCCAATACATGTTTTTGCATCTTGTTGGAGTTTATACAAAGAACGTATACGTATACGTATACGTTCTTTGGAAGCGGCAGGACGGTCTTGTAAATTTATAAAAAAAAATATCAGTCTGGTAGCATCGTTTGTGTCATTACAATTTGTAGTAGAGCTGTTAGTAGTAGATCGAAGTAAAAATGGCTGCCAGACATATATCGTACGTTCTCAGTCTCTTCTCTGGACTGTGCAACAGGCTATACGCAATGTTGTTGTCTCAGTTTAAACGATAAAGCGAACGAAAATAGACATAATTTTAGTGGTGTTATGTGAAGTGTAAACTAAATAAAAAATATCTTGTGGAATAAAAGCGCTGGCGCGACGGAATAAACGCACTAATACGTGAAATAAGATTTGGATATAGTGATAATATACAAACCGATACTAGAGTTCGGTATAAATAATTGGATGGATTATTAATGAAATAAAGTTACTTGTTATACAAGAGCGTGTTCGTATACAATATATTAAACGGGAGAGAAGTAAAAACATTTTTTAATAAAACTTGTTACAAGAAGTGAAAGAGGTTCGTGAGAAGAATTACTAATTCAAATATTTAACTATATATGTTTGATTGCTTCGCATAACGGAGCAAAAATTAATTTCTAAACAATTGTTTTAGCTAAAATAAGCAAACGAATATTTAGATCGCAGCATACTTGTGATTAATAATAACTTAAACAAACTTGTATACATTAAAATGCATGTGGATAAGCAAGACAAACAATATTGCCTGACGCTTCCGTCTTGGAACGCGAACATATTCTAAATCTAGTCAATTACTTTACTTAAAAATTTGTGAACAATTCTTAAAATAGTAATTAACTTTATATTATTTATTTTAGGATTTAGACCTCAGATGAAATGACGGGAGTGCATATTACAAAAACAGAAAAGTTTTCTAGTTGAAAAAAAATTATTTCAATAATTATTTAAAGAAATAATAAAAATTGTACACAATATCAAAGTTCATCATAAATTAAAACAATACAAAGCCAAATCATGACGAGTCGAATCAACTCAGAAAGCTTGAATGAAAACAAGGAACGTGTAGACGAAGAAAGTTTTAAAAAGAAAGAATATTTAGGGAATATTGATAGTGAAGATTTGGCCCACGGTACTGATTCTGGTTTTTTGTCGGGTCCACAAAACTCTTTTTATGAAGAACAGGAAGAACAGAAATATAACGATCCGAAAAGTTTGGATAACAGCTGTAATGATTTAAAACCCGATAACGGGAAACCAACACTCGGTTCAAAGAATTCTGGTGAAAAGACTGCAGAAGACGCTTGTGTTGTCGATTCGGGTTGCATTGATGAAGAGGAATGCAACGAGGTCGAACAACGATCTGTTGTGCAAGATACAAATACACAAGCGAGTGAACAATTAAACTCAGAAAACGCAAGTACAACCAAGGATAAAAGCACTCATGACAATAACATGAGACTTGAGCACGATGTCGATAGTCACATCGCAGAAAGATTTTGCAATCTTAGTCTACAGCATGGACCAATAAATGACTTGAATGGATCTGATAATAGAGCAAATGTAGAACCTACCCCGGCAGCAACAACTCCAAAACATTCGGCTGAACCTTCTAATCAATTGCCGGCATGGGAACAATGTTATCAACAAAACGATGACGGAGACACGTAAGTCTTGTAAACATATATGTATTATATATGTATATTATTTTGAACAGTAATTTAGGTCCCTTTCACCCATTTAATACTTTTGTATACATCATAGTATAATCATATTATTTAATCTTTTATTTCAGTTACCTTCATTTAGCGTGCATCTCAGGCTACGACAACGTAGTTGCAGCCCTTATCAGACTAGCTATACATCCTTGTTTGTTAAATATAAAAAATGATTATGGCCAAACCCCCCTACACTTAGCCGCGCTTACAAAACAAAGGAAAATCTTGCGTATGCTCTTACTTGCCGGCGCTGAGGTATGTTAAAGCCATCCATATCATCTGTTATTAAAGTACAGAAGTAATATTAAAAGCAAATTCTGTTTTTTATTACTTAAAGTGCTCATACAAGCGCCCTCAGCGAAAATTCCATTGATAAGAACCATTTTCTAAATAAATATGTATGTTCTTATCTCTTTCAATTCCAGCCAACCCTTCGCGACCGTCACGGGAATACATCACTGCATCTTGCCTGCATGTCTGGCGACGAGCAATGCGTGAATGCGCTAACAATGCCTTTCAGTGGTTCAGAGATCAATGAGGCGCATCGCCAATATGGCTACAGATCAAATGATAAACTATTTTCCTCACTTAGCTATGCCTGTTTACCTTCAGGTTTAGAGATTCGTAACTACAACGGTAAGTAAAAAAAAAAAAATAATAATATATGCAGAATTTATGAAAATTCTGTACTTTAAGTATATTTACATTTTCGTATATTCAAGTTAATGTATATATGCACATCCATATATATTATGCAAACCTAAATACCCAACGAAAAAAAAGAACAAATGGTTCCGCGGCTGCTATACTGTCCCGACTATTGGCTAGCCGATGATATAGACGGCCGAAAAATTTTTCAAAATTATTTCTGTATTTATAGATGAAAGATTTTCTTATACCAAATACACAAATGAATAGACACACAACGGTCACTCCCTTGAACAAAAATATACTTATACTAGATTAAATACATATCCATACATTCATATTTACATGTACATATATTTTATTGTGCCAACTCACCATTTCTTAAATTAGTGGAAAATGTATGAAATAGAAGAGTAAAATAATAAACTTTGTAGCCTTTTTGGCACATGGAAGCCACTGACGTCAATAACACGTTTTCCCCGCGAAAATCCTCGCGCGCATCAATCGTGCGTTATGGTTTTGAAAAGAATAACACATTATGGTGTGCCAATTCATTCGACGAAAATCTTCCTAAAGGTTTAATCAGAATTTATATCTTCAAAATTTTAATTATTAATTCCAATGAAAAATTTAGTGATTCTAATTTTTTTATGAATGGAAGATGAAGTATGAATAAAGAAAATATCGAACCGTCGTTGAAAGAAGTTTGTTAAGAGGCTCAACCAGTCTAACACAAATATTAACGTACGTACTTGTACACGAAATATTTCGTTTAGTAAGCCATTGGCCTTATTTCGATTAACGTTTTCCATGTATGTATGTACGTATGAATATGTTATATATGCGAGTACATGCATTTGTTTCACATCAATACCTACATTAAGGAAGGTATTGATCGGCTATGTGAAACTAAAAATAGTATATTTTCGTGTGTGATATATATAATGTTTTTAATGGGAATTTGTCAATGCATATTGTAGCTGGATTCGCATGTTTATATTTATGTTTGATTAAAGAGAAAGAAAGCCTGATTTGCTTTAGAATATTATTGCTTGATGATGTAGGTATGTGCATATACATACATACATATGTATCCATACAACAGGTAGTTAGAAAATGGAAAATGCACAAACCGTTGCCATCCTACGAAATGTATATGTTGGTACATATGTATGTATGTGTTTTGTAGAGTCTATAAATATTAAGGGAAATGAGGGCGTTGCAATGGTGCAATTGTTGATTTGCTTTCCTAGAACTTCTTTTCTTAAGTAAGAGAAACTCAAGTTCCGAACGATTTAACATGAATTTGCTTTCACAGCTTACTTCCCTTCTTCTCAAAGCAGCTGCAGCATATTTACATACATAGGTACATACAAATGTGCATAGATGATATACACATACATATATAAATAAGTATGTAAATTTATATATGTATGTATGTATCAATACAGTAACATATAAACGTGTTTAAACCATTAGTTAGTATTTTTTGACCACATTTGACGCCAAAGCTCACTGTAGCCAACATCACTGTTTGTACATATATACATATGTATGTATGTATATAAGTATGTATTGCTCAGCTAAATATAAACTTTTTGGGGTTTTCCCCACCAACAAACAACAGCACAACAAACGGCAACAGTCTGATTAGGGCAAAATTCCAAGTCCACACAAAACGATTGTACTGAAGAGCAGCGTTGAAGCCGCAGAGTAAAAGCGAGACAACAAAATAATGCCGAAGAAGTTTCATTTTCGAAAGCTGACATTAAATATTATCTGAGCGCTAAATTTATACTTATATACATATGTATGTATATGTAAGTGTTGTACATAGTATCTACAAAGCTTATATACATATAATTCAAAGTGGAAAACTAAAAACTGTTATCAAATTAATGTAACCGCAATTACAATTAAGAGAAAACATTCATTGACGACTAAGCAATATTACAGTTGCTTATGTAATAATAGGTAAATAATAAATTTCTGGTTCTTATCACACAAAATTTCCTTCAATTGTCGCTTGTCGTGAATCACAAAAAATAATTATTCTTCTAATTCCTAAACCTCATTCTACGGTTTGTCCCACAATCATCGATTTCATAGAAAGTTTCTTTCGCAATAATAATTAACTGACGACTGCGAAGTGCAAGCGCTCTGAAAAAACCCGCATAACTGTAAAAGTATCCGAATATCGTTTGAATGAAAAACAGATAAGTTTGTAAAGCGAAATTTTAGAGCTGAGTAATGCGTACAAGATGAAACCCGTGTTTTTTCTAATATCTCAGCGTCTTTTACGCTGCATAGCGGGTGAATCCATTTGACGTTGCACCAAAATAAGCTCTTATAGCAAATTTGCTTAGGTGAAATTGGTTGCTGGGGTTCATTTTGGAAACCCCCAATGTCGTTACCTCGTTATCATACGTGTATTTGCTGTTTTGCTTTTATAGAGTGCTCGTTATCAGGTGCTGGTATTGGAGTGGCTGGGGGAATTCATATTTGTATTTCTTACATATTGTCATACATACATGCAATGAAATATTTATCATCTGTATCATATGTACCCTTAGAGTATCAAAGTCATTAAATTAGCCTATAAATTACGCAAATTACAACACTAAAAATTTATAATAGTTGCCGTTACACAATTTTTTTTTGTATTTACCTCTTTGGTAAATGTTTGCTGATGCTGCTCACTGACATTTTTGTTGTTGTCTTCATTTACTACGGTTGCTATCTGTTTGCCAAACAGTCTCCGAAATCAGCCAATATCTTCCATATGTATTTATGGACATCCGACTTCAGTTGGCTCAACAGGTTATTTGTGGCAAATTATGCGCACCGCTCGAAGCAGTCTCCAGTTTCTATCTCTTGTATGGAGCTCGAGGTAGATTAGTAGAGGGCTCCAATGGTGACAAATTGTACAGGCTGTTTTTTTTTTTTTTTTTTGATTTATTCTGGAATTACTACTTTCCACTGTAAGCAGCTCATTTCATAATTCGTTATCAGTTCAAAATGGAAGTTGAAAAGAGAGCAAAATTAATTCGATTCTCTCCATATTTTTTATGGCATTTGAACCCATCCAAATTAACTTTTGAGCTACACTCCAACACATATGCATACGTGCGAGTACATATGGATATTTATGTGTATATACATATATATATATATATATATATATATATATATATGTTCGTATTTACAAAGGTGTCTGTGTTACGATTAATATGCATTGGTCAGTTGCCAAAAATTTAGTTTTGCCCTTAATGTCAATTCACCTGCCTCTCTTCTTCTTCTTCTTCTTTTAAGGCGCATAGTTTTTGCTGGGTTTTTTGTTTTTAATTTTGTCTCGATATTGTTATTGCTATTGTTTTTACATTTTGCTTATTTAACCTTTTTTCTTATTGTTTTTATAGCTAGGGTTGGGATCGACGTTTGCTATTAGTTGAAAGCCGCGGTTGGGATTTTCTGTTATTTCACCTGCTTTACGCAAGCGTGCATGCTTATTAATACAGTTTTCTCCCCGAATCGTCGCATAACTTGTTGGGCCATTCACCGTGCGAATGAACGTAGAGGAATTGCATTGTTAGGTGTGTGTTGTATGTTTTTGTATTTGCTTTCCTCTGAAATAGTCGGGAAACCCATCTTTTGTTTCCATACCGATTCGCTGACTAAAGAAAAGCGGACAGAGACAATTCGTTGTAACGTTGTTTGTTCATAAATCACTGTACTTGGACGCACAAATGTAGTACATGTCTGACATGACGATTTATTTGCATATGCACATACATGCATATATTCATATGTACGTGTGTGTACATAAAGGGCTTTCCTATAAGAGGCATTATTTTGAATAGCCTGCTGTTCCGGTAGATGCCACTAATTAACTGTAATTGTAACTGCTTTGACATTTGACAAGTAAAAGCTACGCCGAAATTAAATTTGGAACAACACATGCTTCAATCAGGTATTGAAATTAAATTTTTAATATTCACTATAAAAATTTCATCGAAAAATCCTCTTGACTGATGCGGCCCATTTTCACCTCGATGGATACGTCGATAAACAAAACTGTCGCACCTGTTGTTCGGAATTGAAAAGCCTCTCTATCTGCTGTTTCGTGCGGTTTGTGGTCGGGTGGGCTCAGTGGATCTTATTTTGCGAAAATGAATGGGTTTTGCTGTCGAGAGATGATTCAACATATTTTCGGGCCGGATTGGATCTGGACAACATTTATTTTCAACAAGGCGGTGCAATACCTGACTTTTTAGTTTACTTTTATTGTTCAATTCACCATCGAATGGCGTTAACTTAAGTTTTTCCCCTAACTAACTGAAATACGTGCGTTTTTTCATTAATTAGTTTTTATCGAAAAATAAATGAGAGTTTGGGAAATTTAATTGTGTACGTACAGCTGTTATCTCCCTGAAAAACCCTCGCTTACTTAGATAATTAGAAAGAAAAAAACCGAAAAATTCATCATCGCAGCGGCTTAATCGCTCTAAGAAATTATGTTGAGCTGTTAGACTTTCCTGTTTTGTTTATTCATGCATGCTACAAGCATACATATGTGAGATGTTCGGTAGTTACTTACAGCCGCCGTCCATCTGAGCGGAGGACGCGTGTTTCACGCTAACATTTATCCCGTGGCACCTTATTGATGAGTAATATTTAAAAGAAGCAATGTTGCTTGAGTAATTTCATATTTGGTATATAAATATACATACATATATGTATATAACAATTTCAAGTGATAAATATTGTGCATAAAATATAATTAAAAAGATTTATTTACATTTAATAGACTCATTTAAGGTTAGTGAAGTGACGAAACAGGTTTCATTTAACCGTTGTTCGTTTTATTTGGCGAATTCTCAATCAGTTTAATTTGAAAATTTGTATGCCTAAAGGATTAATATAAACAAGGTGTCTTAACTGCAGCAACTGCAGCATAGATAAGGGATTCTTTTTTCTATTTTGTATTCCTTTCATTAAAATCTACAAACTGCCAGCTTAGTTCTCGTTTTCTCACCAAAAATATTTATGCTCGTAGATTGTTCTTTATTTCTAATCAAAAAAAGTTTCTAAGCGCTGTCACCTTGTGTTGTTGTGTTGTTGGTTTGAAGTAGTAATTTCCGAGCTTATAGAAATACCTGTTGCTGCTTGTCTTGTCATTTCGCTCGCTGCGCATTATTTCTGCAGGTGACATGACTACATACATGTATTGTATATACGCACATACGTATATATTTCAACCAGAACAATTTTATTGGCAATTACCCAGTAGGAATATTGTTCTCGCCTCACCTCATTGCCATATGGTTGAAACACCTTACCAAGCACATTTCTCTTGGGTGCGTTCATTCGTTCATTGCTATTTATTTTCGTCATATAACGGTGATCGTTAGCATTACCGACTTATTGTTTTTGTCCTTTTGTCTTCAACTCATTCCTATTGTTTTTGTTTTCATTTAATTTTAGCTTTTTACGAACTTAACTCATATTTCTGTGTACAAACGTGTTGTTGTGTACTTTATTATGGGAATTTCTCGGGTTTTTCTGAACGCACACACACACACACATATACACACACACGCACACACGCCCGTCTCATAAATGCTGTCACGTTTATTGAATGGCCCTGTGGCTCTACTGTTATCATAAATGTATTTGTTGGGCGGCATCAATGTGTGGGTTAAAATTAGTTTCGAGTGGATTGAATGTATTTCTAGCGCTTATTTCAAAGTACAAGTGCGCTCATACAAATATACATACATATGCATATATCTCTGTGTAATACATATTTACGTGTATATGTATTTATGTAAGAAATACCGTTGTCGGTTTGTTTAGATTTTTTCTTCGTGCGATCCGAGCTTAAAAGCACGCTTGAACTCGAAATTCTAGAACGTCATTTTGAGTGCTGCCGCTTTGAGAATTTATAGTTTTTCTTGTGTTGTTGTTAGGTTGTTGCTTATTGGAAATGAGTAAGCAGCTTCTCTCGGCTTAGCAGTTCATTCATGAATGAAGCAATGATTTCCATTAACATGCCATATTTAAATACACGTATATACATATGTATGTATGGATGTAAGCATACAAATGTCAATGGTGAATTAATAATTTATTGACATTAGCGGTGGGGACTGATGCCCCATTTTAAGTTATTCCGTTACATAACATTTGCGCTGTATCATTGCACAACGTACAATCATTATTCCTTCATAGAATTCTCCATAGGACTTGCAAATTTACTATATATGAAGTGCAATTGTGCTGGACACCACCGGACCGTAGTGAGTGTTTTTTTTTAAATTAATCAAGAAAGCTCAATACTTCTATACCAAAAACGAATGCATTCGAAGCAGGGAATAATTTTCATACCCACTGGACAGTCCGTTTTATTATTCGATGCCTTATATATAATTGTACTTTTTGTTAAAAGGTATAATATATGTATAAGCTGGCGGAGAAAAGGGGGAGTTCATAACAAAACACAAACACAAAGGAAAACGCCATCAAATGAATATCTTCGTAAAAATACGACCTTAGACCAAATCAAAAAATTATGAAAATACCATTGGATGTAAGAAAAAGTTTTTGGTTTTTAAAATAACTCAACCATTTAGCACTTTCGTTGATGGGGTCTACTTCGCGACACTGCCAACGCCTTAACTTATATTATTTTTCAAATTTTATTATTTCAAATTTTCATCAAATGTTGTCCACATATTGTAATTTTATTTGTAAACAAAATAAATTGTAATCTTTATTTAGTATCTTTTAAAAAAGTACAAAAAAAAGCTTGTTTTTGACCTTCAAGACCTATGTAACGCCTTAAATGACGATCCGATTCGATTCGATTGAAGCCTTGATATCGTCATCCTCAACATCACTTTACCGACCTGAACATGACTTATCTCTGAGTGAAAAATCTCCCGAACGGAATGTGACAAACCGCCTTTGACAGTGTGTTTTTTTAAGGCTTTACCCCTCACCATACAAATTATGCAAATTTTTAGCAACTGCACTTTTTCTTTTAAGGATATAATATAAGAAAATATGTTCTTTAAAATTAACGGCAAACAAACGAAATTACGCGTACAATAAAGAAATTTACATGTTTTTTCTAGTAGTCTTATAAAAAGACGAAGATTTATGAAAAACTTGCCATGCAAAAATTAGTCACTTAGATTTTCAGTAAGGACGACTGAAATACGGAAATGACTTCGAAACTCTTTTCCCTGTAAGACAGCCTTTTAAATTCCACTAATAATTTATTTTGTGCATCGTCGTCGCTTCCGGTAACCTAATATTGTATTATCGTAACTGTGACCATTGCAACACTTTTGCTTTGTAATTTGGACGACACATTCTCTTTTAATGAGATCTTTAACTATGTAATTAAATCGTTGATTTCTCTCTTTCTCTCTTTCTTTCTTCTTCTTCTTCTTCTTTCTCTCTCGTTTCCCATTTTTACTGGGCCTTGGCTCCACAAACACGATCCAATAAGGTTTTGGAAAAATTGTTACTGCCCATCCAGTCAACGAACAGAACTCTAATCACAAGCTCTTCAAAAAAGTGTCCACGCCGTCTGTATGAAAAATTGCCGGTTTCTTTTTGGGCAACCCAATATTTCCCACCCTCGTGGATGTATTCTAATTTAGGTGGGGCGAGGACCTACCTCTACCTCTGCCTCTGCCTCTAGGACCCGTACCAAGACGGTCGTTTTTTGTGAAAGACGCCGGCAACTGGCTAGCAAACCGGAGCTCGTCAGAAATTAGAAATTAACTGAAATATATATACATATATAATTAATATATCTACTTATTTTTAAGAAATTTTGTTAATTTTCAATGAAAATGAGTCTTAAATTTTTTTTTGTCCGTTCATTATAAAAACGTCCGCTCACTAAAGAAATAAGCTTTATTTTATATAAAGTGTATATAATCGGCCGGCAATTAGTACATTTACGCTATATGCTTGTGGCTTTGGAAAACCGCATTTATCGCCACATAGGGTTTCAGAAACTTAAAAACCTGACCAAAGACCAAAGTTATCAGAATTACATCACCTTTATCCAAATTTATTTGCGGTTTTTCAATTAATTTTTAACAATGAATATTTTCGGATCAACTGTGAACTTACCGCCTGTTATTGTAAATAAACCATCCTCATTTAGCGATTTATTTTAATACAACAACTTTCAAAGTGAATCCATGGATTTAATACAGGGATTTTAACTTTATCTAAATATGTTCGAATTTAATTTCTGCATAACGGTTAAATATAGTTTAATAAGTAAACATTAATTTCATTTATTCTTCTAGGCGAATACTGTGTTCATTTAGCTGCTGAAGCTGGTAATTTACAAATACTAAGAACTTTAGTACAATCCGGAGCCGATATCAATGCGAAGGTTTGATTTTCATAATTTCATTTTAATTGAACGATGTTAAATATACGAGTATGCATTACTTTTTCTTGCAGGAGGGCAAAGGTGGCTACACACCGCTTCATATCGCTATCGAAAAGAACAATGAGGAATTGTTCAATTTCCTACTCGATGATTGTAAGCCAACACTTAATGTGGAAACCACCACATTTGGACGTTTGACGCCTTATCAATTGGCATGCATTTTAAATAGAACACAAATGCAAAGCATTTTGGAGAAGCATGGTGCGGAACCACTAACACCACCAGATAGTGAATATGAAAGTGATGACGATGATTCGGACTTGGAAGAATCCAAGGTGAGTTAAAATTGTCCCGCAATTCAAACTTGGTTAAATTATAGATTTCTTTCTAAAGATGTTTGAGAAACCCGTTTTGAGTTAATTTAAAGTCAGTAATGTCCAAATGACAGAGCGTGAAAGCATTATTCAATTACACTTTTAGTTAATTTTTCTATTTTCCATTTCTGTTACTGGCCTAGCGATGATTAAAAAATTAAAATTTCCGTTTCCTATTTTGATTTGTATTTTCAGAACTATGATCGTATCGTCGAGACGGGAATCTTTGGAAATTTCAAAGGCGGCAATGCTATGGCAGTGATGTAATATATGAAAGTTGTGTTGAGCACCTGAAATGCATTTGGCGCGTGATTTTCACTGGAAAGGAGTACCTAAATACGCTCAATGTACTTAAATGTATGAGAAATTTAAGCGATGCGAATATAAAAACGCCGAAAAAGTGAAAATTTTAAAGAATTTGAAACATATATTTACGTTTAGTGTAGATAATGAATTGGTTTATGAAAATCTCGATATCCTGTTTTAATCCTTAAATCCTTATAACATAATTTAATTTTCATATGCATATTTGAAAATATTTATAACATGACTGTATGAAATTAAGTATTTACTCTATAGCAAAGTATATTTATGTGTGAATAATCTGAAAACAAAACAAAAAATACATGCCTTCATATAAAGTGACCCAAAATATAACATTAATAATAAATTTGTGCATACCCAACACAAAGGAATCAAGTAGTTTCATTTTTCGAACTTTTATATGTGAGATTATTTAAAAACTAAATTTTTAAGTTTATACACGGTTGACGACTTGTTAGAAAATCTATCGCTGTTGTTTATTTAGTAAAAGTTTTACGAACAAATTTACTGTCGAAAATGGCAAAGGTTGTACTACTTTTATGAATGTTCGAAACCTTCAATGATGTAGGCATTAAGCTGTAAAGTATAGAAACTTTGCCTAATTATCGAACTCGATAGCGCATGATGAAGAGAAAAGAGTCAGATATGTGATAGTTTCTACAACGTATACGTAGTCTGAGTTTGCTAAACAAAGTCCAAGTTTAAAGCAAAAATTAATAGCTGAACCTGTAACGCGAAGGGTTAAGCAATGCTTCCTGTTTGTTTGAGAAATATTTATACTTTATTAATGAATAATGGTACTTCGACGCCGTGAAAATCATGTACATACATATATGAAGCTCTGTACGAGGTTCGAGCACTGATATTTCGATGCTTTGGCGATTACACTTTTTGTTTATGAAATTACTATAATTATTTTTTGTTAGTTAAAATGTGTAATTATGTGGTATTTTATTGCACTAAAAAATCAGCTATTTTTTCTACACCCATAATGCAGTCTTTGACATATACATTCCCATGAAGCATCTCCAGGGTCATAAGTACATATATACATCCGACATACTACAGCGGAGTGCTCCATCAACTAGCTCCATACTCGTTTTTATTCGTATTTATCAAAATAACGTTTCTTTAGATCCGGCGGATACGTAACGTAGATGTAGTGCTCATTTTGGCCAATGTCATTTTGCATAAATTCATGGATTGATGATGAAGCGCGTAGCGAGTGCTGAGATGCTCCACTATTGCGATGATGGGAGGATAACTGCCGTGGATGGGTATTGTAATGACGTCCACCACCACCCGCAGCTAAAGCCATACCCGACTCGCCGTCCAACATTGTGACGCCGCTCGAGCCCAAACCTGCAGTACTCGCGGACTTTGGTGCACCACTCATCGCACTGCCCATCGACTTACCGCCAACACTTGTGACCGCTGTGGTAGCAATGGGCCTACTTGTATAGTCGCGTCGGTCTAAAATGTCCTGTTGGTAAACGTGACTCTGCGTCGGTGCGTGTCGATGTCGTGGTGTACCGGCCATATCCGCGGCCGTAGACGTGCTCGGCGTATGCGATTCGGTCATGTACCGTCTTGGGCTGTGGCGATAATCGTATTGAAGTTGTTCGGGGTATAACTCGTGCACTGGCTGTTGTTGGTAGTAGTATGGCTGGGACATGTTCTGGCGCATACCGCTGTGCATACTGGTACCTGTAATATTCGGATGCTGTTGCTGTTGGTGCGGCATTTGCACCGATTGTTGATACCGATGGTACATATAATCGTGTTGATTGGTATTGATTGTCGTCTCCTCGGAACTGAAATAGACAACTTTTGCTTAATCACAACGCACTCAATGTGTGTGGTGAACATAGAACCAGATCATAAGGGGCCACTCTATTGAGTTCTCATATAAAATACTTACTTAAATAATATCCAAATGATATAGTAGCAAAAGCACACGCCTGTAGACAGCACGAGAATAAGTATAAGTGCCAGACCCCATGGAAAAGTGGATTTCTCGAGCGGACCATCCTCCCAATAGCGGTCGCATGACAAATACCAGCAAACCGCTTTGTTCATTGCCTCTGTAACAACGAATGCTAATCAATCGACCCATTCATCAAAAAATAGTCAAATTGAACACACCTTCCATTTCCTTAAACGACTGATCCGTCATTGTGAGAAGAAGGCCGGAGATGCAACTTCTTAGTAAAACCTCGCATTGCGCCCTCAGTTTACTAAGTTCCTCAGCCTTACAACTCGATCGGTTCTTCTGTGCGTTACCGTTGTCATAATTGATTCTGATGATGTGGCCAGTCGCGTTTAAAGTATCCTCATCGTTGTCCTGGCTACTTCTATCATTGGCGTTTTTCTTTTTGGCTTTGGAGTTATGGGTATGAGGTGGTGTTTGTGTATTGGCAGCGTTTTTGTTGTGATCCGTGTTTGTTGGAGTCCCTGTTGAATGTTTACCGTCAGCATGTCCCTTTTTTATATTTTTCAAGGGTTCATTGGCAATGGTGGTCTTGGTTGTCTGCTTGCGCTTTTCAGCAATTATTACATTCTCGACTATAGTATTTTTTTGTTTGGACAGGAAATTTATTAGGGATTTCGGATGGGTAACCAATTGAGAGAAGGACCTACATACATACACTCATACAACAGTACACATGTATATGTGTACAACTTACCAGTATCCTTAAATTTATTCTGACCAATTTTGTCCTGACATAATTGACGTGCTCTTGAGGCGCGTCTGCCCCCTATCGAGGAAGTCCTGCAAAGTAAAAGATTTCTCTCGAATCATGTGCGGCCAGCCAATATAATGATTTTCTCATTTACCCAAGTGGTATTAAACTCAAGTATGGCGAGTTTGCTTTCGCCAACGCCGCGTTCTGACCCAAGGAATCGCCCCAAACTTCAATGTCTGTCACAACATGCTGGTCACTGGCCGTCAAACTCGCTGATTCCTCACTCTGAAACACCTCACAGCGCATTATGTCGCAAAAGTCCGCCAAGCACACAGCGTCTTCGGCCTGATAAATGGAAAGATCGATTCTAATAAGGTGATTCCACTGTGGACTAAAGTCTGTCACAAAATTCAATAGTTTTTATCTTTCTTGGGCGCAGTTATTCTTTCAAATGTGTTCCGTTGAATTTTGCTCAAGTCTTGTATGCACATATTTATGTACACGTATGTGAGTAGGCATGCGTTAGGGTAAAATTTTAATATTTTCGAACCTCATTTATAACACTCTTGTGGCGAGTCTCAAAGTGCAAATCCAAAAACCTCTCTTGATAGAAACTTTTACCACACAAACGGCAGGTCCATTGGGTTGGTCGATCACGTTTTTTGGCATCTTGACACGGAGAAAATACATCGCGTAGAGGATGTAGCGGGCATTCTAAAGGTAACTTCGCCTAAAAGTAGACATCGTTGTATATATTTGTATAAGAATACATTTATTGGTATAGATTCAAATAAGTCCCATTCAGAGTCGGTAGCTAATTTAAGACAAAGCTTGAGACGATAGTTTTTGAAGCTATTTGGCGAAGCTTTTCATTAAAAAACGACTCTGGGAGGGAAAGTATAAAAACTAATATCAATGCTTCTGAGTAGGGCTGCTTGACTTACCGAGTATTTATCCAGTATTGGAGTCCACTTTGAGCGTACAATTTTTCGTACCAAACGGCTGTTATCTTTGGAGCAAAAAAGCTTCGTGATGTGTGTATGGGGCCATGGCATAAGCAATAGAAAGTAAATTAAAGTTATCTGCGAGAACATGAAATAATTTGGATCAGTTTTTTCAGTAAAATATTATTTGTTTTCTGTAGTTTTCTTATTTGGTTGAGGTATTGGGATTCGATACTTAAAAATAGGAATTCAACTTAAAATAGACAGAAGCCAATCTTGGGGATGATCACGCAGACTTATTACAGACCATGGATTGAAGGGGTCACCTCCGTTATTTGTGCATATTCCGCTGCTACGATACGATGGATGAAACATAGACAAAATAAGATGGGTCCTTCTAACATTTGTTATAGATTTGGCTGTACGTTCTCGTGCATTATCGTTCCCAATGATAAAAGATATCTCGTTTATTTGCGTATATACTCCTACACAGAAGAGGAATGTGACATGATCTTCTCGAGCGCTAATATCTTCTGTCTGCCGTGCTAATAGTGAATTGTGGCATCCGTTGACATCCTTCTCTAATTTGTGGCATGCGTCTTGATGTTCCTCCAAGAAATGGAGGGACCTACACTTTGATGTGGTTTTTATGAGTAGTCTTTATTACATGGCAGAACTACATTCCCTGCCGAAGGGCGACCGTATTTAGAAAACTTAGTCCCTGCTTAGTATTTAATATAAACTTTTGGCTATTAATTGTGATTTGTGCTTTTGACGATCAAAATATATACATACATACATATTATGTATGCACATATCTATTTAATTTTATCAATTGAATTTTCAAGAAAAATGTTGCTTTTTATCCAATTTGTGTTCAAACAATCAGATAATAAATACATATACGAGTGTGTACATTCAAATATACATACATATTTTTAAGAAAAATTCATGGGCATTTCTCAAAAGCATTATATACATACATATGTATGTACATATATATGTACGTAGCAACTTCGTATGCTTTCAGCCCAGGCACAGTTACCGCTATTCTAGTGTCAACATTTAGACATAATTAACACATTTGAATATTTTCGACACTTCAGAAAAGGATCTGCATTTATACCAACATGCATCCCATTGTAGATTTGTACATACATATGTACGTACTATGTGTGTAGCAGCATTTCCTGTCACTATACTCTTTTGTCAAAGGAATGGCACCGCACCAAGCCGGTTGTAGGTAGATTTTTAGGTCATTTCATGAAAAAAATCGATAGTTTCCACGAAAGCAGCGCTATGTAAATAATGAATGAAAAAAAATACGCTTCTTAAGGCATAATTGGAAAGCACCACAGAAAGCAGTTAAGAGCAGGAGTTTAGTTCAATATTGAAAATCTTTTTAAATTGGATAAATACAATACACGATATGTAGATGTATGCATGTCAACGGATATGCAATACCCGCATTAGGAATTTCATAACATTTTTCTCTAATCAAATACATAAGTACATATTTTTCAATCACTTACCTCAATGTTAAAATGTTTACGCGACATTCATAACAATCACTTTCGAAAATTTGTCTGTTTTCAAGAATTATGGAAAATCGAACGTACACGCTATTTGACTAACGGTCGAATTTACTTAAATATAATACCTACATCGGTATGTGAACAATGCACTGGGCAATGAGAATACAATTTATTTGGTAACTGATTTTTTCCCCGAGTTCTTAGCGCAGTCGTTTGCGTGGTTTTTCTTAATTTATTCGCGCTGGAATATGTATATTTAACATTTTTTCGGCCTGTTTTGATTAGAAAAGCGTCTACACCACGAAAGGTATCTCTTCTTACTGTGGTCGGTTGAATTTCTATAATCCTCTTCCACGCAAGTACAAATCTCCATAGACATATCCTTTACTACAGTGCTGTAGCCTATTGAAAACATCCCCATTTTTTACCCTTCTGACAAGCGCATAAAGCAATAAGCATTACTAATTCATATACAAACCAACGAATTGATTACAAATATAGCATGCTCTCAACCTCCACCTCGCCATTTTTTGTAACTGAAACCATATTTTAACAAAGTACGCAGTTTATTTTTTCATTTTGTGTTTCATAATAACTTAAAAAATTCGTTTCCAATTGTTTAAATTGGAAACTTTTGACCCCGATGTTAAAAATAACTTAATGATAAAATTCAAAATATATTTTACAATTTATGTGTTTTTCTAGTACGCTTGCCTAAACCTTTTTAGGCAAGAATTTGTTCAATGAACTAAACAATATAATCCTGCCGTTTTATTTTTTTACTTTCACAGTCCGTTATAAACTCGATTCACTGAGTCTTGATGTAAAATTCTCTTAAGATCTGAAAAAATTAAAAAAAAATATATATTTTTATAATACCACTAAATGAATGGCAAATCAGCAATCTGTGTGCTCACCTTGTTTTTCTTCATCGCTCAAATCGGTTTTAGGGAACTCCACATCGAATGTTATATATAGGTTGCCTTGCAAATTATTATTCTCATAATTTGGCATACCTTCACCCTTCTTGCGTATTCTTGCACCTGGCCAGGTTATTTTTTCACGTGTAATACTCACAGAATGGCCATCCAAATGTGTTATATTCATTGTAAAGCCGATAAGTGAATCCTTAAACAATAAACAAATCATTTCGTACTCTAGTGGCCTTTTCTGATATCAAACATACCTGTAAGCTGATGGTAACATTTGTGTACAAATCGTCACCTTTTCGTTGGAAGCGGTTATGGGGTGTCTGTAGAACTTTAATTATAAGATCACCTGGCTCTCCATCTAAATGTGGTTCTCCTTCAGCTACGAATCGTGTTTCTTGTCCATCTACCATACCGGCTTCAATTTCTACCTCCAACGTACGCTCTTCATTGACAAGTTTAACGTTTGGACATTCATCGCAAACCGTTTGTTGAATCATTTGGAAACGACCGGGTCCTAAGTTGCGTGTAACCATTTCTTGTCGGCAATTACACTTACGTGTACCTGAAGCCGGCTTTAGCACCGGTTTATTTCGCACAATTTCTACAAAGTTGCCTGAATACAATTCTTCTAACGTTACGTATAAATTCATGACAATATTTGCTCCACGAGCTGCTTGTTGCTCATGTGGATCACCATTGCCAAAATGAAAACCGAAATCACCGAAAAAGCTGGCAAAGGGGTCTGCTCCATGATCCATCATACCATCCTTTTTTAAGCATTCTTCGCCACATCGGTCATACGTTTTTCTTTTATCTGAGTCCGATAAAACTTCATATGCGGCACCCAAATCTTGGAATTTTTCTGAAGCTGACGGATCGTCTTTATTTTTATCTGGATGCAGCTCTTTGGCTAATTTTCTGTAGGCTTTTTTAATCTCATTTGTTGAAGCCGACTTTCGTACTTTTAAAATATTGTAAAAGTCTCGGCCCGCAAATACAAAACCCAATAGGCAGCAGGCAATTTGTAGTAACAAAATTAACGTTAAGTTATTCATGGCGATTACTCTAGCAATTAAAATACTTTTTCCAGTTATTTGGTAGCTATTTATTTTTATAATATTAAATTTTCTAAAACTTATCTATGAACTGTTCTGGCAAATGTGCCAATAACATCTATAGGGGTGTATTGTTTTTGTGTGAGTGTGCGTGGTTGGCACTGATTGGCTACAGCAATCTTGTCAAAATGGAAAAGTTGCTACTCTTATAAAATCTCGTTTCGAAATAAAAGTATTTTAGAACATTTTGTTAAATCCAACGTCAAGAAGTTCTGTATACAATGCTTCCCTGAAAAAACTTTGTTTTACTAGATAGCTTTTTCCTTTTGTTCATAAATTTGTGCTTATGTGCCCCAAAAGATTTTTTATTAAATTTTGCAGACGTTCCATTATGATTTATAAGCAATTGTGACTTGTGCTACTCTACATCATTGTGAATTGTTGGTTTGTTGTTAGTAAACGACTTGATTCTACTAATTATCACATATTGGTCCGAGTTGTGTAGATTTTAGAAAATAATATTGTCATTGTACAATCTGTCTTTGGGAAATGTGCAATTTTTTAACTTGCGGGTGAATTATTTGCATAAAAACAGTTGTGGAGCCATTGGCACTGCAAATAAAAATGAAGATTGATAGACATCTGAGTACAAATTTTCGTTATCTATTGAATATTTACATTTCCACATATTTGTTTGTTTAAATGTAAATAGTTGTGTATGGTGAAAAGTAGTACAAATCTAATTCGCCCTTGTTATTGGTCAAGGATAAAGTATTTATTTAGTTATTGCTAAAATTTGTATGTTACAAAGTGATTGAATGCAAAGCGGTAAGTATATGAACATACGTCTATTTTAGCATAAATGAATTTGTTCGAAACCAGCATATTTAAATACATATCTGTGATGAATTTATGAACGAAATCGTTTCATGTGTGTACAAAAGGTTTTTATGACTAATCGTCAAAACTAAACCAAAGAAAACTAACTACTTTTATAATACATACATATATAACTAATATGTGCTATGGCGCGAGCTCCAATCATAACTTTTTCCTGAGCGCGCTGGGTTACTGTAATAAAGAAAGCAAAAAGACGTATATATGCATGTACATCCATAAATATGTACATACATATGTGTACAACACATTTCTTATCTCAAATGCATTACTTATATACGTACCAATCAAATACTTACTATGTATATGAAGATTCCAGTATATAAAAATATTCATCAAAACAAAATACGCTATATACACGTACATATACGTAAGTATAATAGTACATTTATTTAACAGCTTATGTACATATACGTAAGTGGGAACCTTTTTTAAATGTGGCTTAAATATGTATGTATGTACTTATAAAAGAGCTTAGAAGGTAAATTGCAATTAGTTTAATTTTAATCAGCTTTGAATGTGAACTGCAGAAATCAACACTAACCGTCGCAAGTCTACGCTCCTATCAAAAGAAAATGTTTGTTTGTTGAAAACTTAAAAACCATTAGAGAAATAATTCAAATTTTGCATATTTGTTATTGGTCACAGTCTGCCATGCTGCTAGTGCCACGAATATTTTTACGCAGACGAGCGTTGCTTTTGATAACGGTATTTTTGTAGCGTCAGTCCAGTAATGCGTGCTTCAAAAGATTCGATAATTTTCGAAAACTATGCCGAAACGAAAAGAAATAGACTTTGGCGAAAGAAATAATATTGTTAAACTCCACGAAATAACCAAAACTACCAGTAAATAGGAAAAGCTGTGGGTAGAGCTTGGACCTCAGTTCGCACAGTCAGTTCGAAATCAAGATCTGGCCGTCCTTCCAAACTAACACACAGGGATGCTCTAAGTGTTATGTCTCCTGTAAACCCAAATGCCAGGATCGCAGCCTCCAAAGTAGCCTTAAACGTTCAGCAAAAGTTTAAAAAGGTGAGGAGTGATTCTACTTGTCGAAGAATTTTAAAAAATTAGGATACCATGAACGTGTCGCTCGAAGTAAACCGGACATGTCATAAATCGACAAAAACACATAGCCTTCGCAAGGAGGAGTAATGATGTGTGGATATATGGCAACAGATAATGAGTATTATTGTTCTTCCAACATTGGCCCAAAACATACCGATGATTAGGTAAATACCCTAGTATCTTCCAGCAGAGGTGTTCACCATTATAATATGCGTGAAGCTCATACTCCAAATAGTCGTAGCGATAGTCAAGCCGCACTGAAAGCAATATCGTCGCGCACAATTAAGTCATATATGGTATGAGAACGAGTTAAGAACCTCAATAAAGTGGGTTAACGAAACAAACTTCAGCTCATCTGGGTTCCGGGACACACATTAAGAAAATGAAATAGCAGAGAGTCTCGCAAAAGAAGCTGCCTCAATCTCTTACTGGATCTGAGCCATTCCCTCTTGTAGGTCTCCACTCAATTAAAGCAGAGACAAAAAGGCAGAAAATTAGTAAAAGAAACAGTTATTGGTATTATAGTGATGGATTGAGACAACCAAATAACTTATAAACGGCTACAATACCAAAAGATTTAATAATATAATATTATTTAGTTAGAATGATTTAAGAATATCAACAGGATTTCTTACAGGACATTGCAGACAGCGTAAGAACATGTACAGGCTACGATTAAACCTGTCGATTCTGTGAGCTGGTACCAGAAACAGCGGTGCACTTGATATTTGTACGTAAGCTGTTGTAAGAAGGAGACATAACCACTTAGGAGTCATTCAGCCGAAGGAGAACCATGTGAAATCAATCAGCCCCTCTAGTCTTATTAGATTTATAAGGGCATTAAGGCTGGTTGAAGTAATGCGAAGAATTTGGAGGTCACAATAGACCACTGGTCGTCGTGCATATCCTCCTTACTAATCTATCTATCCGCCGAAATTTTCCGCCTATGGCTTCTTCATAACGTCCCTAAACAGTTCCTGGCACCACCACCAACAGCTAATTTGAATCCAATAGAGCATATGGGGACGTTGTTGGAGTGGAATATAAGGAAAGATGATATAACAAATAAATCAATGTTGAAAAAGGCCAAGAAGGCAGAGTGGGGAAAATTTGTTAATTTAATGCCAAGCAGACCGCGGGAAGTCCTTACATGTCGAGAATACCCAAATCATTACTGAATTATTCATTTTTTGCAAATAGTACATAGAAAAATGTTACGTAAAAATTCTCTACTAAAGTATTTAATTAGTTCAAATAAAAAAGGAATTTGGATAAAAATATTTGGCATTTTTTGTTAATTTATTTAAAAGAAGTACTTAAGGAGCGTGTACTTACACTTATGACGGTTAGTGTATGCACACACCTGCATATATGTATAAGAATATACAATGTACGTACATTTGCATGCACGATATGGCAGTAAATAGGTATATAAAGGTTGGGGTTCCTTTACACAAAATAGAAATTACTTTGTTTCTAACTGTTCTCTTCCAAGAAAGCTCGTTTAACAAAATGCTTTCACGAGCACTTAATTTGTGTGCATGCAATTAGTATTAGTGTACTGTATTCTCCCGATTTTTCGAACTCAAAACTTTTGGAAATTTGACACCTTTTTATGCATACATATATAAAATGGAAATAAATAAAATATTTGAACTCAGTTTATGTTCAGTAAGTGCTTTGGTCAATATTCAAACTACTGCGTTCTAATTGGGATAATATTTCAATATGTACATATGTACATATAACGCATGGATGCATTTATTTCACAATTTTTATTCATAAAGAAAATGCGATACCACTTTTTCCGTACTTTGTGCAGAAACAAACGCATACTGATATGCCTGCACAACCGTTCTATTTGTTTTAAAATGCAATGTGAACTTTGAATGCCTTTGTTTATTATATCTCTACATTTTTATCACATTTACACATGTATAATATGAACATCCACAAGCACATTCATAGACATATGTATGTTATGTGAAAACATATTCGAGGAGGGTTGTAGAATAAGTGAGGAATTCCACGGAATAGATTCAAAATTTTGAATCGATTTCCTTAACGCGCATTTAACTCCAAACTGCAGGAATGGAGATTAAGTTACCGTTGAATTGAATTTCGATGGTATGAATTATAATGTTTACTTGTATTGCTGAGTTGTATTTTTATTACAAATCCCCTTGTAGCTCACAAAAAACAAATAACAATTGTAATAATAATAATTTCGAATGAATCATAATATATAAACAAATAAATGCATATACATATGTGCATAAACACGTAGTACATATCTACAGACATATGCAGACATATGCAATATTAAGTGCAGACTCAAAGGTTTCCAAATGATATCGGGGTCAATGGTGTGTCACAACGATTTTGATATTCATGATTGCTTGTTGGTGGGATCATGCACTTAATTGCAAATGTTCAAATGTTTCAATGATTTCGTTATAAATAAGATGAAATTGTTCTTTTTTGATATTTCGAGATTTCATTATCTTTATAAACATGCTCGTTATCAATAGATTAAATCTGTTTATACATACATATGTACATGCATGTATGTGCGCCGTAAATGGTATACAATATTTTGTATTATGCTTTTCGGTGCATCAGTACTATGGGTAAATCTTTCAACGCCTTTGAAGACCTCTGAACGGAATTCTAACTTAATCAATTATTTACAAACTAATACTAAATAAGTGTATATTTATTGGCCCTCCTTGGCTTTGGATTACCAAAAAATGTTGTTTGTTCATTTCTCGGGTTTATGATGGCAAGAATTACGATTCGTAAAGATAATCGCATTTTGTTAAACCTTTTTATAGGACCATTGAATGAATTATAGAAATTTACTTTCATTTATTTAATTTATTTCAGACGAATATTGGAACGTAAATACTGTTTACGGTTTATTGAAATTCAAGATTACAAAGTTAGCAAATAAGGATTCCAAAAATGTGTTGTGAAGCTTGCGGCGTCGGACAGCGCAAAGCCTGGGTTTTCGGCTTTGGCACATTTTTCGCCGTTATTGGTCTTGTCATGCTTATATTTTGGAAGGATATTGCAGATAGTATAAAGCGAAATGTAAGCAATTAGCACACAAAATTAGATAACATTTATAGCGATTTTTTAAATAACTGTTCTTATAAATATCTGCAGAATTTGGTGTTGAAAGTTGGTTCTGAAGCCTATAACAATTGGGTTGAGGCGCCCATACCAATTTATTTGGAATTCCATATGTTCAATTGGACCAATCCAGAGGAGATTAGGAATCATAAAGTTAAACCGCATTTTGTTGAGATGGGACCATACGTATTTCTTGAAAAGCATTTAAAACAGAATATTACATTTTATGAAAATAATACAGTCTCATATTTTGAGAAACGCACCTGGTTCTTCGATGAGCAGCTCTCAGGTGGTTCTTTGGACGATATGCTAACAGCGGCGCATGTTATTACAGCTGTGAGTGACTTAAATACATTTATAGATTTATATTTTCTTAATTTAAACTCATATATTTTACAGACTGTCGCCGATGAAATGCGTCATCGGAATAAATTCATTAAAAAGGTTGTAAATTTCATGCTCAATCGTGAAGGTGGCGAGTTATACACAACAAAAACCGTGCGTGAGTGGATTTTCGAGGGTTACAAGGATAAACTCATCGACTTCCTCAATCTCTTTAATACCACCAAAATAAACATACCGTACAAACGCTTTGGCTGGCTGGTTGATCGTAATGGCTCAGCCGAATATGATGGCCTCTTCACAATACACACTGGCGTTGATGACATGGCACATTTGGGCAGTTTGACGCACTGGAATCTTAAAAATGAGACTGGTTTTTATTCTGCACCCTGTGGTACAGTAAATGGCACCACCGGCGACCTTTTCCCACCTAATTTGCACGCTCAACAAGAAATAACAATTTTCGCCACAGACGCATGCCGTTATATGAATTTGGCACCGAATGGCACTATTGAAAAATATGGGCTAACCGGCTACAATTGGATCGGCACCACAGAGACATTGGATTCGGGTGAAAATTTCCCAAATCAAAAATGCTTCTGTGATCCCAGCATTGACGAATGTCCGAAAACGGGAGTGGTGGAGTGCAAGAAGTGCCGTAACAATGCACCAATATATGCCTCGTTCCCACATTTTCACCTGGCGGATCCTAGCTATGTGAATGCTGTGTCTGGCCTGAAACCGGATGCGAATAAACATAGCTTCAATTTGGCAATAGAGCCCATCACTGGTATACCGTTGGAAGTGAATGGTCGTCTACAGATCAATATGATGATCCAGCCCGACAATGATTTTGAGTAAGTTTGCTTGAATTATTGATAGAATGAATTGATCTCATACCGGATTTATGTTATCAGTATTTATCGTGATGTGCCCAAATTCTTGATGCCCATGTTTTGGTTCGATCAAGTGGCTGTTTTGGATAAGAAATTAGCTGACAAAGCGAAGGTAAATAATAGTACATTGCAAGCCAAACTCAAAGCAAAAGTGAGAGTGACAAAGCGAAGCATAAATATCACGATATGCATTACATTTAATGAAATACTTAATATAATATTTTCCAGCTGGTAATCAATTTGGGTGATTATGGCTACTACATAGGAACTCCGTTGCTTTCAGTTGGCGCCATATTCTTTATAGTTGGTATTGTTCTAACGGTAACCAAGCGTTGGAAGCGAATGCCCAATGATGATGAAGATATGCTCACAACTTAGACGTCCTGCGCATAGGATGTGTGAATGTAATTATTTAAAAATATATATATGTATAACTAGTTAGTTGCTCTGCGAACATTTAAAATTATGTATGTAGGATATTAATTGTACAAAACCACGTTAACAGTAGCCAAAGTGCCAGCAATTATTCTAGTTACGTAACAAATCTGTGAATATTTGCACATATACCTATTTATAAATTTATGTTGTTCCATTTTAAAGTTAAACAGCTTAGCAGCATTCAAATGTGTATCTCGCCATAAGGTCTTAAAATACTGTAACATATTGCAATTATTTTTGTTTGTACATATATGTACGTATATTTTTTTATTTGAAATAAAATTGAAGTTGCGATACGGTTTATCTAGGCTTTAAAAACACTAGATTTTTTGTTCCGAATTCGGAGAGCATAGTGAAAAATACGCAAGTGAGAAAAGTTAGGGGAGAAAAGAGGTAGGTGTTTTTTATGATTATGTTTTTTTTCGTACATTCTCGTACACCCTTTTTCTGAAATACTTACTGGTTTAGGCTCAGAAAGGCATCCATTTTTTAATACACATTTTGTACTCTTAGAACACAATAAAACGCATCAATTTCGAAAATATATATTTCATTCAAGTTTTTATTTAAAATTCATACTTATAAACTTTATGCTAAACAGTGGGAATGTTTTGTTTTTAATAACTAATTTAGTATGCCTTTTTTAAGATAATCGAATCGGATTTTCGTATACAATAATAAAATCAATGCCAAATGTTTCATTATAGATTCCCTTACACACTTTTGGGAATAAGTTATTTAATGTAGTATGAATAGTTTTACATTTTTTAATGGCCCTACATATTCATTTATTTTCGGGAGCAATTAAAAATAATTGAAAATTAAAACAAACAAAAAATATTCAAGGAGCAATCACAATTCGGGATTTCTTTGCGAATTAACTTTACAATGATCGTTTTTTTTTATGTGTGATATTCACCCAAGTGTGAAAGTCCGTTATCCCAAATTGTGTGTTCCCCTTTTCGCTATACAATCCATACATGTATATAGTATATAAGTAAATATGACAAAAATTGCCGCTTTTGGCTTTTAGTCACTGGGAACGCATTTAACAATAGACTTTTTAACGGGAAAAGCCTACGTAAACTTTTGTGAGTAAAAACAAAAACCGCGATTTTCGCACATACCATTCCGCTTTATGTACGTGTGTGTATGTATGTTTGTATATAAGTAAATGACAGAGTTGTGTAGAATGTATTAATTTCCCAATGCATTTCAATAAAGTAATATAAAGCATTTAAATCACTAATCAATTCTTTTGAATCAACTAATTTAAATTTTTATAAACTAAACAATTGGTGTTTGAAAATTTTTCTTCAATTTGAAAGCTGCATAGATTTCGAAAAAATCGTTAACGTCATGTTTCCCAAATTGATTTTTTTAAAGTGTAGAAACCTAGGTGTAATAATAATTAATAATCAATCTCAATGACATTGCATTCACAATTTGTAAATTATATTTACTAAACGCATTTTATTTAATATATCAAACATTTTTATTGCATTCAGCTCTGAGTAGTGCATTAAGTCACTGTTCAGATGCACGGAAATACTCTAACACTTTTCCCAACTCTGTTATATGGTTTTATATAGCGTAATTCGTATTTATTTAATTTAACTTAAGTGTTTTTTTTTTCTTCAATAATAATAATTTGTGTACGAACACATGCCTGCAGCAAAGATGTGCCGCTTGTCTACATGTCTTCTCTATAACATTAAAAATTTTTGTATACTATTTATATGTTTATTAATTTTTCATCTTATTTCGTCAATTAAATCATTCATATGCTAACATACACAACTGTATACAGATATGAATGTTTGTGGCATTTTATTACTCATTCATACCTACTATTTAACGTTGTACGGTGGGCAAGTCTAGGCAATATTCACTTAAATGCATTTTGCATGTTTTAAAATCTCTCATGCATACTTACATATGTATGTATATACATATATATGTATATATATATATATATATTACTATATGTTGTATATAAATATGCAATACTTAAAGTATTGGCTCTCACTTACACCCTAAGCACTATGAAACTAAAAGAGGTTCGATTGCATTACTTTGTAATTATTATGGCATATCTATATATGTATGTATGTATGTATTTATGTATGTATGTATGTAATTATATGTATTAATGCCGATGAACAGTCGGTCGGTTATTCGATCAATTGGATTTATTTTGTTCGTTCCGTGTTATTTGCACTTTGCTTAAGCCTAAACTTCACGTACTTATGAGCTTATCAACTATAATTGAATAAAAAACAAGGTAGTCGTCATTCCTCTTCAATAGAACGAAGAAGAAGAAGAAAGAAAGTAAAGCATCTCTGCTCCTTCTATTCCCTCGATACTTTATTTGATAAAGCATTGAAAGTACTCAAATGAAATTAAAAAAAATCGATCACAGTTGTTTTGGGCGGACTTCGTATAATGATATACATATGTATGTATGTGAGTTTGTTACTTGTTTTCTAGTTATTAAATATTAAGTAAACTTTTAAAAATGTAAAAACCTTGTATTATAGTGGCTTAGTCACTTCACTTCTCTTTTCACAATTTTTATGAAAAAGTCAGAGATAAAATTAAAGTTAAAAAAAAAAGAAAAATTAATCAACACTTATGTATGACATAAGTATTATTTTAACGGCTATAATGAAAATAAATATTTAATAGTACATTTGTGTATGTGTTCCTTTGCACACTTCATACCCAATTAGCACATTTAGTTTTCGTTTTGGTTACTTTCTTACTTGAAATGTATGTATGTATATCATTTCAAAAGTATTCTGAGTATTTGTGTTGCTATTCGCCTTTTGTTGCTTCTTTGTTTAAATTTATGAATTTATAAAAGTGACTAGATTAGATATTTTTTTTTTGCTTTCGTTAAATAATTCACAACATGAAAAATGAGGTCAGTTTCGAATACACAATAGAAATTGCTCATTCTTTCGGAATACTCGATACGCCGGGGTCAAATGTTCGTACATATGTATACGCATTAGGGTGGTTTTTTGAAATTATTTTCCCAAAAATTGTTCCAAAATTATATTGTATATTGTAAAAGCGTGAAAGCTTAAAACACTCCTATTTTTGGGAAAAGGGTATTCACCCATAATTGCAATAAAATCATTAAAAATTGTTATCTTTCGAGAGCACAAGGACATATTTTCCAAGAATGTTTGTTTTTCAGCTAATACGAGTACACACTTCATCATATGTATGTGAGTATGTGTGATACCATATGAGAAAATTAAAGAAATATGTTTTTTTTTGTATAATACAAAGCTTATAGGATATCAAAAAGTGTGGGCAAGGGTTGCCTAATAGGTGTGGAACAAAACCTGTATGGGGTATATTCTTCAGTTTTCAGAGAAATACAACCTTAAACCACCACAGCCCGCATATTCAAGCAGTGAGACACGCAAATACAAATGTATTAAGTTGGGAAATGTCATTTATGATTATATGTCCTTATACGGGTATGTATTCCGCTTCGATTACTATCAGTGAATTCCCTAGAAACAACTTTTTGGCACACACTTGGCTATTTAGTAAGTCCTCAGCAAACATTTGAAATCACACCTCCACCTAAACACTGTGAGGGATTATTTTTTATTTCGCAAATTTAAAGTCTTTTCTCTTTTCGTTAAGAAACATTTTGTGTGGATCAATTTTTGTTTCATTCGGAATTTTTTTTTTTAGTCGAGGCTCGGCGTGAATCGTGTTTAGGAATAGAAAGCAACACCTGAACAAAAGAAATCTCAAAAGATCTTGTGTACCGCCTGTGGACATGGACATACCTCTTTTGTTTCGGCTTCGAGATGGACGGGGTGCAATATTTGTGTGTGGTGTGTGCTGAAAAATTGTGGAAAACTGCATTTAGTTCAGCCTAGTGCCGTTGAGTAGGTTCATCTTCAAAGAATGTGAGCAAACGTTGTACTCTCGTATCTCTTGTCTTCGTCTCTCTGTTCTGCTATAGCGTTTCTCCTTCACATTTGGGAGTTATAGCTCTTGTGGTGTTTCGTGATTGCCGGATCCATAACGTAGTTATTCGCTTCTGCCATTTGCATTGGCAGCGGTGGTAGCTTGTCATTCGGATGTCGATGGCTACCAGCGACTTTGCGGCCCTTTGCCGAGGCCAATTGAAGTGTTGGCGTTGCTGAAGTTGCATACTTTGTGGTAGTGATGGCTGTTGGGTGCGTCGTTGTGCTCGTCGATGGCATTGTTGTGGTTGCCGACGTCGTAGCCGATACCTGAACTGACGGTGACAAAGGTGGTGCGGTGCTTGCCTCGGCTGTAATGAGAGCACCTGCATTCGACGATAAGCTTTGATGAATCGTTTTGTTACCATTGCTGTGATTGGTAGACAACGTCGTGACTCGGTGGCCGTTGGGTGATGTGGACAGCCCACAAGCATTGCGCAATGTTGTGGCCATTACTAAGCGATTTGTCTTCGAACTGGCAAAAACTTTTGTTTGTTTGAGTAGAGATTGATCGTTACAGAGCGCAGAGATGAGTGGTAAATCCATGTGTTTGCTTTTCTCGCGCAGAACAGCGATATCCAGTGGATTGGTAGCTGTGTTGCTTCCGGGACCAGCGCTTGTATTGGCGCTGGCAACGATGCTGGTGTTGTCTTTCGATTTGTGGGTGTTTGCTGTGGAAGCGGCCTGGCGATTGGCAGCTGCCGCGCTGGCTTGCAGATGCGCCAGAATGCTGCCACCGTTATATGAAATGGGATTGGGTTTTGGTCGTTCACCCGCCCACTGTGCACCACTGGATGTACGTGTCATATTATTCACACTGCGATTCGTATTAAGTGTGGGTGGCTTCCGTGGCGGCAATTGATGGTGCATTGATATTTGATTTTTTGTAGACATCACATGGGTCGGATTAGGTTTTGAGGGAACTATAAAAGTAGAAAGGGTTTAGAAATAGGTTTTCAGAGCTTAATATTCACCTTTACTTACTTGGTGGTGGCTTTTCGGTTGGTGCCGGCATTGGAGGTTTCTTCAAACGCCGGTTCACGTATGGCGGCGGTGGGGGCGGTGGCATGCGTTTAACCTTCGGCAGAGAGTCGATTGAATTTAGAATGTTATCATCCGATCGCGAGCGCGCGAATAAATTTGTGTTGTTCGGATTAGGCACAGTCAATGTAGAAGGGTGTAACGGAGGTGGTGGCGGTGGTTCATATGACGAACATAAACTGGCCATGGAGGGGCTGTAGAGCGGCGAGTATGTGCTTGGTAATTGCACGTAAGTATCTGAAAGATTTTGTGTCGACGCGTAGCGGGAATGCGTGGATAAGGCTAATGGTAGGTAGGGTGTGCTTCGATATATTGCATGTCCTTTACACGTATCCCAGGATCCCACATGAGCTCTGCCGGCATGATATGCCAAGTATGGGTGCGGATGGGAAAGAGGTTGCGGTGGTGATTGTGCCATGGCTGCATATATTGAACTCTGTTTGGCGTCGAGATATTCCTGTTGACTCACAGCAGGATCTTGTATTGGGTAGATGACATAGTCTACGTCGCTGTAGAGCTGCTGTTGGTACAACTCGAGTTGTTTGCGTGCTAGCTGATTTCCGTAAACACCGGCGAGTTGAGATGGTGGTGGAGGTGGCGGAGGTTGACGTGGTAGGTTAGGTGGTGGCGGAGGCAGAAACTGCCGATGCTTAATCACTGGTAGAAGCACACACGTGCGTGTGGACTGCTTGATTTCCGGATAGGGCGGCGGTGGTGGTGGCGGTTGCTGATGTAACGATGACATGCTGCTGTGTGTCCCATGCAAGCTGTAAGGTACGATCGGTATACCAATGGTGCTGGGAATGACACCCGCACCCACACCTACGGCAGCTGCAGCCGCCGCATGGGCCACTGCAGCTGCCGAAATGGATGACTGTCTTGTTGCCGAAGCCGAAGAATGGTGATTGCCATTTAGGGAGACTTGCGAGCCGCTGATGTAATGTGAGTTGTGTACGGAATGCTGGGAGAAATGACTCGGCATGTGTTGACTGGAAATGGAACCGGATGTGGACGCAGCCGACGAGCAATGTGTCGGCGCAGCATAACTGGGCTTCTGATTATCGTTAATTACACTGGTATGGGCTTTCAGAATGTTGATTTGTGGTCTAGTCGTAATAAATCGGGCGGTTACCTCTTCAGTTTTGAGGGAACTAAGTGAGCCTGCTGTGGAGGACATCAAGCCATTGGAATGATTGAGAGAGGATGTGCTTGAAGCTACTGATACTAGTGACGTGGGTCGCGGCTTGGCCGACGTTGGATATGGCGGAGGGTCATGACGTCGAACAACAACAGGCGCTGTTGGAAGTAGTGCACGCGGCACTGCTGCACCCACTGTACACTGTGTCTTCACCTCAGTTTGAATAGTTGGCGATGGCACTTGGGAAAAAGTTGTAGGATTTTTTAAGCTTGTAGTATTAGTTGTTGGCTTTTGTGCTAACGGTGGGCACACAGGTGGTCCACAGAGCCCAGTTTTTTCATGACGTGCATGGTATGGCGGCGGCGAACGCATTGGTATGTTGCTGAGGCTCACTAGATTTGTTGCATGTTTCATGCTATTGCTGTCGATGCGTTGAGGGGGCGCTGGTGGATCCGTCGGTATTAAATCGTTGATTAAATCTTCAACTTGATCGTCAGTTGGTGCTGTATCTTGGTGGCCTTGTATGTATGACTCGCCTTTAATAGGCAATGGCAACGTTACATAATCGCAGTCCGAATCTAGTGTGCTTGACACCGTCTTTCGATTCGGATATGTACCACGACCAACTATTAGGTCGGTCAACTCTTCAGCGGAAAGCAAATTATGCTTGTTGTCTGTTGGATCGCTGCCATCGCCCCGGAAAGAGCCGCTGGTACTTACATTCGAGTCCGAGCGTAAACGAAACTCTTCGTTTTTGATGCGCTTGCCTTGATAACTTCCGCCGTCGACTGAGTCCAAGTTGCTGTGACTCTCATGTAAACTATTCACATCTGTCTCACCCTTTGACGGCTGGAAAATACCGTAATGGGAGCTCTTTTCGGACTCAGCAATCTCCGATGATTCGCCGGTCATTTCACTGCTGTGCATCGTGTACACCCCAGAAGTTTCGGTAGGTGGTGCACCATGAGCCAAAGTGTAGACACCTGAAACGCTTTCATTTTCGTCACGACTGGACGCAAAATCATGATCAATGCATGTTGACTCGGCCTCACTTAGAATTGAATTCTGAGCGGTGTGACTAAAACCCAATTCAAGGCTACTCGATGTAGAATTTCGGCGTTGCATCGGTGTAGAGTTGATAATGGAATGCAATGAGGTGAGAGTGTTAGCAGTGGAGTTTGAGCTTGGTAAGACCACTACGGTGCTGCATGTAGAGGAGCACTGGGATCCAATATTGTGTTGCGAGCTTGGCGAATCAGTCGCAGTTGAAGAGTCTGCTGCGCGCTGCGATGCCTGATTGGAACTGCTGCTCGAAGAATTGCCCGCTGAATTGTGACAACGCTCAACCGACGATTCATCGCCGGAATTAACCGAACTTGTGTGTTGCTTCTTACGTACGGATAGGGCTGCTAAGTGCTCTTCCAGATCTTTCAAAGAGACTTGTCCCACCGACGAGGTTTGTCTGCTAACGCTTGGATGGTCTAAAAGATGTGCCAATGCAAGACTCTCAGTAGACGGTGCAGCGATTGGTGCCGGTGGCGTGTTTATCATTATCTCAACCTCGTCCTCGGAGTGTACGCGATCACTCACAATACCAGACGTGGTGTTGGAGCTAGTGCTCGATATGACTGATATACGTTGATCGCTCTTATTTTTATACGGCAAATGCAAGCTCCTCGAATAAATGTAGCTAGCATGTAGGCAATTGCTCTCTTCCTCCTCACGCTTGATGACTTCCTTGAGTCTTGCGGCGATTTTCATACTGAACTGATGAGTTTCACGACATAAAGTCAGTAGCATTTTATTTTTCTCATCCGAGGTGGCATATAGAAGTATTTTACAATCACCTGAGCGGATTTCGAACTTCTTCCGTTCGAACGATAGCTTTGTAATGCTTGGCCATAAGAATGTGGTCTGCTGTTGTGGGGTTTCAATGGAACTGAAAATTTTAATACCCTTTGAATAAACCACAAACCATGTGCTGCCCAAACCGCTTTCAGTTTTTAAAGAACGCATCCTATAAATATGTGCATTGACCGAGTCGTGCACCATGCAGGCGTGTTGGATGTAATGAAGTTCAGCGTCGGCGGTTGACATGCCATTGTATTCTCTGTGGCAGGCTTTTAGAGCATTCAACGCCCAAGAATTGCGCAACTCCATAGGGAGGTACTCATTCCAGTTGAAATAGTCCATAGCTGATGACTGCGTTTGAGCCAGCACTGAGAGTGAAGTGCTTGAAGAGGTGGCCGTGGTCGGAGGCGAGTTCGACGAGCTGTTACGATTCATCGAAGATAGCGAGGAGGAAGCTGAAAACGAGGCCGCCACCGCCCCAATACTACGCTTTAAGCTGCCGCTAATTGGAAAAATTGACGTAGATTGAGAGAACGGCGCTGTTGTAGATTTCGTTTTTTCCGTCTCTGCTTCCTTATCAGATGTCGTTATGGACTTGGCCTTTTCTATAAGTGCGGGCGTAGTCGCGGCAGAGGATGTGGAATTTCTTGTTATTAAAAAGTTGGACAAGCGTAGCACCCGATCACTTTCACTGCCTAAACGTTTCGTGATCTTTGGCAACGTTGTGGTTGTCGAGTCAGTAGGTTTCATTGCCGCTGTCGGTGGTGTTACTTCAGTGTTAATCGCTGCCGTTGCTTCCTTAGTTTTTGCTGGTAAATTTGAGACGTCATTTGTATTGGCTGTCGGGCAGTTTGTGACATGCGAGGAAAGCAGGCGTGGGAGGTCGCACTCCGTAAGACCACCAGCGCCGCAACTGCTCTCTCCCGATAAAAGCGATTTTAATGTTGTGCCCTTTGGAGGAGTGCTTGTTGTTGTTGCTGCTGTATTTATTGATTGTGTCTGAGCATGCGCCGCAGCTGGCGCATCACCCAAATCAGCTTGTAGTGCCAAGCCCGCGAGCAAAATCATCGACTGTTCCGAATATTCTTTAGGCAATTCCCGTTGTAGTGCATTGTGTTTCAATTGGAGATAATAGTTGTGGCGGGATATCTCATCTCTCAATATAAACGGACTCTCGATGTAGAATTGTACACGGAAGTGTAATTCCAGAAGCGGACGTCCGTTCGCATCGAGGCCCTGAAAGTCGTTGATGATAATACAATTAGAACGTTCCATAGCTGTACAAATGAGTATGTGTGTGTAGGGAGCAACTTACGTGCGTGTGGGAGGAACGCCAACTTTTTGGGCCGTATTTTGAGAGTTTGCTCTCCGGATCCGCAAACATGTATTCGCCATCTGCAAAAAGAAAATAAGTCAGAGGTCAAAGTGCAATACTCCAAAACTAGTCAACCAAAAAAAAGTGCCAAATATTTTATTTTACTATTAATAGGAGGTGTTTTCAATTGCGCTCGGGACGATAATTACAATAGGTGAGGCGGAAGGAGATTATTTCTATCAGACGTGAGTTAATTCTCGGGCTGATCTTTCCAACGTGGTGGCTTTCTTGTTCTTCTTCTATTTCTAACGCCAGCCGCTACTGGAGAGAAAACCTTCAAAATTTGACTGCGAAAACTTGGATGATGTTACCTAGCCCAAGTAGCCAACATCTAAAATTGTAGAAAAAGCTCGAATCACTAAAAGGCGATACCCAAGACTCCGTATGAAGTTACTCAGTAATTTTTTTTCCGAATTATACGGCGAATTCTGATTCGTAAAATCAGTGGGAGCCTATGGTCAGGCTGAAAAGAGGAATGACTGAGAGCGAGATTGGATTGAAATCGGTTGAGAGACCCCTGCGGAGTTTTGAAACGCGGTTGGGTAAGCAGTGGCTGGGAATTTAACAAACATTCGACCGTAATTCAGCACAAAAACAACGCACGCCCTGTTATCGCTAAGCCGCAGAGCTCACGTACGTATGTGTGTGTGCTCAATGAAGTGCTCGAAGTGTTCAGTGTTATCTGGTTTGGAGGAAGGCAGCTGCATCGCCCAGCGTCCATCCTCTGCATGTTTGCATGAATTGCCATTTCAACATTCCAGCCTCGAAGCATAGAAATGCATGAACACGTCCGAGTACGAACGCGAGTGTGTGTGTGTGTGGAGCTCGAGTTCTTTATTATTGTATTACTCTTGTTCGGCGTTTTCGCGAATTTGATTGGAATTTTTAGTTTTCTTTCGAGACATTTACTTACATCTCCTCGCGTTCGTGGTATTTATGTACTCGTATGTATTTATGTGGCGGTGTGTCTATGCGTCTCCTTTCTTTTTATTAACGAAAAATGGTTGATTGGTATTAAACGCCAACATTTTCGTTGTTGTATTTCTTGTTGGTATTTCTTACGTTGGCCATTTCGCATTACAATTTCATTTTAACTATCGTCCTGTAAAGAGGGCCTATTAGCTTTGTCCGGCCAACGGTTTTTTGTGGGAGCATAAGATAACAGCCGGAATGACCGGATTTTCGTCCTGGTTATAGAAAAAAGTTAATTTGTCTAATCGCGGTCTCGCGGAAGAGGTTCAGTTTATTTCGAGGTGAAGTAGGCGCCATGTGGGAAGCACTTTTAGCGAAGTTCAGGAGAGTTTCCTCTGAGCTGTGAAGCTGTTAGATTTCTAAGGTGAGTTCTAGATTAAGTCGGACGGAAGCAGGTAGCAAGGAGGTGTTCCAGCATCTCACTCTTGCCTTCTTCGCTGCGTGTGCCATCGTTACTGATTCGTCAGGCCTTTCTCCACTTTAAGACTTTCAAGAATTTTCAATGTCATAAGATTTGGCATGAAGCTCAAATTATGAGACCTTTTTTTTTGAGGTTTTTTTTTTGTAGGAGTGTTGCCACTTTTTTGGAAATTAAAAATCTACGAACAAAAGAGAGACAGAGAGATTATGTACAACCAGAGTAAGCCTCGGATTGCCACATTTCCGACGATCTTCGTTGTACACTGGCTTAAAACTAACCCGTTGAATTCGGAACCAAGCTCCACCTCACTTTAATTTTTCATTGCCTTCGTTATTTTTTTGTCCTGATTTGGTTGGAGTTGCAACTCTGTTGCCACTTTTGATCGTTTTTATTATTTCAATGATTCTTTTCCATGCCTACATACATACATACACGTACATACATACATACATGCACACACATCCATTTTTGTAATCACCACAAATTCCACAAAACATTTTCTCTTCCATTTGTTGTTGTTGTTGTTAATGCTGCATAATCATTATCGGCAGGTAGCGGCAGTCGAGATGATGGCGACTAAAGTGGAGGAAGAAGAATCGACAATAGCAATAAAGAGCCAACAAAAACAAAAGCAATAAAAGCAACAAATGCAAGAACAAGATGAATAGAATACAAAACACCGAAACATGGCATGAGCCATCGTAGTAAATTTTTAGATTCTTGTTGTTGCAGTCGTTATTTTGACTGTTGTCTCCGCTTGTTCTTGTTTGTGTGTTTCTTTTCTTTTTTCATTCCTCAAAGTGTTTTTTCTTATTATTTTTTGATTTTCATTTATTATTTTGCCTCTTTTCTTGTTGCTGTTGCTGATCGCGTGCAACCGATAAACATTGGAAATTAAAATTCCTTTCTTATAGCTTTAACTTGGGGCATTTGCTACTCGTCGTCTTTCTTCCCTTTTTCCTCTTCTTAGTAATGAATTGCTGCCCTGAGGAGCAGTGGAAGGGGATGGCATAAACTGTGTTTAACCCCAAAAATAGCCTTCAATCATAATCGACCTCAGGGTGCGTGATCTACATGTCTTTCGACGTTAGATCCTGCCAGCAAAATATGCTACTCATCGGGTAGATCGGTTACACATGATACTGGCTTTTGGTTACCAGAAATCAAGCCATGAAAATGAAATAATTTTCTGAATGAAGTTATCAACAAATCTGCATCCCTATGGTCTGCTTTGCTCGCCTTGACTCTGAAACACTGTGGTCTTGAGCTTCTTACAAGTGCCGGGGAGCGGGCAACGATCCATACTGGCGAGTGCAGCGTCCGATAAGGTATGGAAAACAAAACCAATAAACATAAACCAGTATTTTTAAAATGTGATTACAACGTAGAAGTGCTTGTCAGCGCAGCAAGAGCGGCGAGCAACCGTGTATGCGAACAACTGGGAAACTCAGGGTGGACCAACGCAGCAGCATTCCGTTCGGCGTGTTGTTAGTGTGGCTTATATGCACGAGTATATACGAGCATATGTGTGCGTTTACGTATGCAGCCTTGGGCGCTGCAGATTGGGTGTCTCTTGCGATGTTGGCATTTTTGGGCTTTAGGACAAGCCAAGGCCGGGGTGGGATCGAGAAGTCGACGCCAGAGACCGATGCTCATTTCAGCTCATTTTAGCTCATTAGTTCTGGTGATCCAACCAGAGGTGTGTGGAGGCCAAAACGCCATACCAATGTATCCAGGCACATTCAATGTGCACATGTGCAGATGTAAATATGTTTGTATACGCTCTTTTATGTATGTACGATGCATGTGTATTCGGCAAATTCAGCGCGTTGTATGCAACGTGGCTGCTTCCAAAACGAACACAACAACACAACCAGCAGCCATGGATTAAAAAAGCAATCCAGAAAATGGATTAAAAAACAAAAAGGCCACACAAAAATGATTCATAAAAAACTAGAAAAACATAAAACTGCTAAAGACACAACGAATACTGATCAATAATGGCAGCATGTATAAATGTAAGGAGATTTCGACAGGCGACTGGTGGCCAGTATATGGCAAAGGAGATGCACTAAGAAGAAACAACTTGAAGAAGAATATAACAAATGCCAGAACCGGCGCAGTGGGCCGGGGTATGGAGTGTTCACAATTGGTGTTGTAAGGCCAGGAGCGGAAGGAGCTGGGTTGGGGGTACAACTGGCAATTGGCAGCAGACACAAGGCGCGTGTTCAGTAATTCAGGTAGCGGCTGCGCGCATTGCTTTAACACGAGAGCGATCAGCCGAACACACCGATCGACAGACGGACGGATGGACGGACGGACGGACGTCCGACGTTGGTTATTGGACATTGGAAGACATTGGTATGGAGGTTGGTGATGCCAGTTCTGCAGTCGATAGCCGACGACAAACTGTTGCCGGCATAACCAGTAGCTGCAGAAGCAGCAGCAACTATGAGTACATGACCAGAAAACGAAAGAGAATCGACGCAGCGTAGCGTTGAGTTGCACGAAGGTGAAGGAGGAGTACAAAAACTTTGATGCCGTGCGGCAACAACTGCAATAATAAAAACGTGAAAGCAGCAGGTCGTGAGGAAGGCAGGCCAACATTGAAAGTAGCATCAAGCAACAAGCAACAAGCAGCAAGCAGCAAGAGCAACATTGAAAATAGAATCCAGCAAACGAGCTTAGGAATGCAGACCAAACAGGCTGCGGCCTGTAGGCAGTTAGTTGGCTATGCCGGTTTGACTACAACAACAACAACAACAACAACAGCTAAAACAACTGCGACTGGGCTTGGGCTTGAGTTTCATCGGTAGGGAGTGGCGCGGTGTTGGTGAAGAGATAAGTAGCAGTACATACAAGCACACATTTATACATGTGTGCGTATGGGTGTACGTAGGCAAGTACAGCAGAGCAACGGGAGAGCGCACGCACACATTACCATGCCCATAGGCTGCCGGAGAAGATACTAGTTGTGCTCTAGAGCACTACTAGTTGGCAATTTTGTAGAAAGCAATTCTTAAAATTTAATCTCCAGCAACTTTCTCTTCAATGCACTAGGTGATGCATCAGTTTCATACTAGTTGAATACCAGTTCCATACTATGTGTTAATTTCCAATTCTTATGCTTTGATTTGAACTCCACCTCATGTCTGACCGTCGCAAAATTGAAACGCCGTTGCAAGTATGCTCGAGTTGCCAAAAAACTCGCTAAGGTAAAGCTTACCAGTAGTGCTTAATTGCTTAATTGTTATTATTGTATTTCCGTTATTGATAAGCCATTGAATTGGCGACGAATAGTGTTGTGCGCTCACTTCATCTCACTTCATCTTACATAGTGACTAGTTGCCGATTAGTTCTTTTACATTTGAAATTAGATTTACCTTATTGGGTGGGGTACGTCATGAATAATTTTTGTAGTTGTGTTGGAGTTCTATGACATTCAGTAGGATAATGTAAAAGCATGGGCTCCGCATTACCAACTATAGATACGCACATACAATCAATTTATATGTATGCACATACAAACAAATTTATGAGCGGACATTTGTCGATAAGTTCGTTTCAAATTTAACTACTTGGACTTTATTGAAATGGATATTGAAGCTCAAAGCTATTGTAACCCTAATCATGCACATACGTGTATGCATATACGAGTATATTATACAATATATATGTATGCATATTTGGCATGAAAATGGTACGAGAGGAATGTGTTGCATTGGCGGCGCAACAGCAGTTGCTGGGCACTTGCATATCGCAGCACTTTAGATAGATATAATGAAAAAAATCATATTGTACATAACTATCTTACATATGTTTGCATGCATGTATATATTTATTATATTTATATTGGCTTCATACAATCGTACGAGTGAAAATGAACGCCTAAGAAAGAATGTCCCGGAAAGAGGCTTGCAGAAGAAGGGATACAGTTTTTTGTTTCGACATCGTTCATAGCTAAATGGCACTACAAAAGGAAGGTTTTTATACATACGTGTATATTTCACAACATAAGACTACTGACTACTTTTCGAATATATAATTTGACTGCAACTCCTCATAAATTTAAATGTTTCCCTCTACAAAGTGTGCATATAGAGCTAGTACATGTGTGAAAAGTTTCAATTATCATAAGTATATAGCTCTAAATAGATATATTTCCATTTTCTTGCATACATATATACATATATATATAGATTGAAAACTCACCGATGAGCACCGCCAAACCGAACAATTCTGTATCGAGCATTCCTTGTGCTGCAAAATGTAGGCATGTTTGTGTATACACTTCTCTCACTCGACTCTTTGCATCGACTAGGAAGTATAAAGTTTTGGGCTGCTGATTGCCTAAAAGTCTGCCGGAAAAAGAAAATGTGATTTAAAGGAAATAATTTTACGGAAAATAATAAAAAATATCTTACAACTAACTGCCTTTCCAATGGCTTTTAAGCAATTAATTTAGCCTACTTTTTGACCAACGTTCTCATGCATTTTTTTTCTCAAGAATTACTTCTGTTCGAATATCATGTGAAAGTTTGTCAAAAATGTATCTTTGGTGAATTTGGCAAGGTTGAATTATCCACTTACCTCAGGGCTAAAAAGCGTGTTCCTGGTGACAGTTGGTCGGCCGATGACGCGCATACTTCTAATGGCGCGCTGACAGTACAAAACGCTCGCATGCTGCATCATTACTTAATAGCAACAAATCCTTCCGAAATTTCTTTCTGAAATTTTATAGAAGACTTACTTTGAGTTTTTAGCTTTTAATTTATTAATTTAAAAAAATGTGATTGTCTAAAATAAGCTTTTCATGTTATTTATCCTTTTTTATTTATTTCATTTCTTATATTGCTTTATTTCATTCTTTAATTTCATTTTCTTTTTCTTTTTTGTATTTAAATTATTTCATTTTGTTAAGATTATTTTAATTTGTGTTGTTTAATTTTATTTTATTTTTGTATTTTCTATTATTTCAATTTAATAATAATAATAATTTTGATTTGCTTAATTTTGTTTTATTGATTAAATTTGATTTTATTTAAATTTATTTATACCCTAACTAAATTTTCTTCCTCAACATTCAGCTTTAAGAGCTTAATAAGAGCTTGAAAGTTGGTGCTTGAAATGTTTAATAATCCTCAAGTACTGCGTATGGTGATTGTGGAAAAGTATAAAACTGTATAAGCAAATGACCAAATGCATCTATAATGGATATTATCATATGCACACACATACCCACAGTAATATTATTAGTCTACATGCATTGGCATTCACCAATAACAAAAGACTTAAGCGACAAACTTGCTTTTTAAATGCCAACCGATGAATACAAGGAAAGTAAGACATAAAACTGCATAACTTAAGGTCACAAAATATTATATGCATATAAATTAATAATTAATAATGCTTCCAATTTGTTAAATCAGGTCTACAAGTATTAATCGTGCACGCAGTTGTAGACAGGCAGAAAGAAATATTTAAAAAAATTGGTTTCTATTTATGCTCTCTTCCTACCTTCTTCTATTTTATATTATTATTATTTGAATAAAAAATAGAAAATAAAAATAAATAACACAAAATCTCTATATATGTTTCTGGCATGAAAAGCTTCCAAACTTAAGTGAAATTCCCAAGCGAATTACGTGCATTTCACAAATGCTTCAACATTTCCATTTGCAAGCAGTGTATTGTTGCTAATATGTATTTATTTAGTCGATTTTATTGTTAGACCTTAATTAACTAGAGTGACATAAACACTGGGGAAGGTGTATATATGTATGTACAATTGTTTGTCGTTTAAATAAACTGTCTGCCTATAGCGCATTGTTTAATTTAAGGTGTGCTCTGCTCTGCTCTGCTCGCTTGGACCGGATGGGCTAGGTCCACTTATAAAATTGTCCAAGCTTTTATTCAATACATTTAATTGCATTCATTTGGCATTACACTTGTTTCAAATTAAATAAGTATGTCTATAGGAGGATATGCGTAATGCATAAAATCGCCAGGCAGTAGTTCCCATCGAAACTAAATAAGAAGATTTGGCAGGAATTTTCACAGCCAAGGCTAAGATTTTCAGGTAATTAATAACAATAAACGCTGAAAATGTTAAATATTGCTTCCTTATGTCTAGAATCTAAAAAACTTTACTCACTCAATTAGAAAATAATATTCATTTTAACAAAAATTAAAATGAATTAAATTAAAAAATTAAGTAAATAAATAAAAAACAAGAAACCAGAAGTATGAATGAATGGCTTTCACATTTACCAACCGAGCGAATGCATCAGGTATGTTTTGGAAACGTCAATTTAGTACAATTAATTGCCATGGAGATCGCTTCGCACTGAAACAACGCGCTGAAATAGTGACACTTTGCATCGAAAAGAGTCGTTCTATGGTGTTAAATCAACGTGCCTATCGGAAGCACATCTGGTATCAAGAAGAGGCAACATTGACTGGCCACCCAGATCACCTGATTTAACCTTCCCCGGACTTCCTGTTGGGGTGTTATCTGAAGAGCAAGGTTTACGCCCACCAGCCTCAAACTATCGATGAGCTCCAGGCAAACATTCGTGCTGAAATCGACGCTGTAACACCCGAGATGCTCGGCAAACGCAGAAAAATTAAGACATTTTGTAATTGCTAATAAAGGTAGCCACTTGATGGATATTGTTTTCAAAAACTAGTCCAAAGAAATGATGGGGAAGCGAACTGAATAAAAATTCATCATTTAAATCGGTTGGTTTTTCTCAAAGTTATTCGATATTTACATACCGACCTAAAGGTGGAGCACCCTGTAAACGATTTTTTTTTTTTCAAATCACAACTTTTAAATGGAACCCTTTTCGATCTTGTTACCATAGAAAAAAAAGGAAAAATAAAGTAGAATTGGAAAAAAAAATTTGATGATACTAGAATCATTTTCGTTTCACAAAGCTGAACTTAAAATTACTAAATACTTTTTATATGTTTTTTTTTTTTAGATTTTTGGCTCTTACCTGCACAGCTACCTGATTGAGACAAACTACCTAGGACGAGTGTGTGTGTCGCAATATTCCGCTAATGAGTCCCATTTGTATTATGCAACATGCAACAGCTGCAAATACACAAATATTAAATAAAGTAACTGCCGACTTAGTTTTTTATTTCTTTAAAAGCAAAGTGAAATTCCGAAACACTTTAGTGTAGTTGTGTTTGTAAAGAAAGTTATTGGCCACACAATATTACATACACGTCTTTCATTCACGGCTATGAGTGTCTATTTGAAGCCCATAACAAGCTCTTTGTGCCATTGTGGGTGAATACTTTTTATTTGCTTCCATATCTTTTAATTTTTAATTTTTAATTGACATTTCTTTGCAAAACGATTTTATTTTCATCTACTACTTTTATGAACCCGTTATAATGATGATAACAGTGTGTACGACGAGCTTTGGCACATTTTTGGGTTTAAAATTTCCAATGGTGCACACATACATACACACATACATACATATACATATATGTATAACTTATTCACCACTTCACTCTTATCAGCAATATTTTCATATGAATTGAATCAAGTTTTTGTTGGTGTCTAGAAGCCATACATGCGGTTATCAGAGTATTTTATTTCTTTTTTTGTTTATATTTCTAAATAAAACTGAAATTTTTCCTTTTCAGCTGTTGAGCTGTTACATTTAAATATATGGACACTTGTAAATATTTTCACTCTTTCAGTTAATCGTGATTTGCCGATATTCGGATTTTGTTGTTGTTGTTACCTTTCGTTCGCCCGCATTCCAATTGGCATTCAGAATGGCGACTGACTGTAATTGAGGCAACTACAACTGAACTATCACCATTTGTATCAGCTTCGAGCATTTTTATGAAAATAAAAACAAAAAACAAAAATAATAATAATAATCACAGATGACAATGAGTCAGTCGTTCAGCTAGTTTTTGGAGCGATAAACAAAAAAATCAGAGCGAAACAGAACACTAAATATCAGAAACTGTCAATCATTGTTGTACTAGGCGCTGGAAATGTTTGTTTGTAGGTTGGAGATTACGTTTACTTTTTCTTCACAATTTATATATATTATACTCGTATATGTTTTGTTGTTGTTGTGGTATTAGTGAACGCGTTTTTCACTTGAAATCGCACTACAATCGGCACAAATTATCAAAGATATCCATACAGTTGTAGATACATATATACAGTTGTAGATACATACATACAGCTGTAGATACATATATACACTAAAATTAATAATAAAAATTCCAAGTGCATATGTCAGCTGTATGTATACGTGTGTATCTGTGTGTCATCAAATATATTTTTTGTACATACATACATACATACATACATACATATAAAACATACATATACATATATATCTGCATATCTTTCGTTGCCATTCTGTCGTTTAGTTTTGTGCTCTTATTAAATTTTCCCTTCGCTTATTTTTATTTTTATTCTCATTGTTTTCGTTGTTGTTATTGCTGCCAATCTACTTCTATCTCATTTCATGTACACTTTGTTGTTGCACGAAAGAATGTCATGCAATTTTTTGTTGTATTTCATTTTGTCTCTTATTCGTTGTTGTTGTTGTTGTTGTTGCTGCTGCTGTGGACTTTTCGCCGCTTCGTCGACGACATTTTACACTGATACACAAATACACAGCCGAAAAAATTTATTCGAAACTCACACATACCATCAAAGAATCGTTTATCAGCTCACCGTAGGGAGCACGAATTTGAGAGAATTACGCACACATATACACATATACACATATTTACAGCGCAGAGAGCGATCAAAGTGATCGTGGAGTTGCGCGCGATTTCTGGCGTCGTCAGTTGATTTGTCTGTATGTGTGTGCACGGGCGCCCACATTTCGCACTGGGCCCGTCACTCCGATATCGCAGCACGAGTATCTGTGAGCGCCCGACTCATACATGCCAGAAATACTTGTGCTTGTGTGCGCGTGTGTATGGGTGCGTCTGTCTCTACAGTACTGTGATTGTGTTTGTGGTTATGTGCGTTTGGGGAACACAACGTGTTTGTTTGCTTCGACCAGGTTCTATTACATTTCTTTCTCATTTGTTAGAAAATAATTTCTAACTAGAATACAACAGCGGCTACAACAACAATAACAGAAGCAATAGCAAGAAAAAGCAATAAAGCCAGCCACCGTACTATAGCGTGCTGTTGGGTATTTAAATATTTATTTACTCGGTATGTGAAAATATTTGCTGCAGTTGTTGTTGTTGTTGTTTTCATGCAGACTATCGTCAAATAACAGCACATTCACCACTTTGAAATATATGTATATATGTATACTGCCCAAGAGAACCACGACCCATGCGGTGTGTCCCCGAATTGGCAAAATTATCAACACTTTACGATTTAAATTTTTTTTTCAATTTTTCTACAGTATTTGCATTGTTAATTAACTGTTTAGCCAATACTATATTTTTTTTTTAATTACAGCGCACAGTTTTTAATGTTTTCGTTGTTGTTTTTAATAATTTTTTGGTTTTTAATTTTTACAATGTTTTTCAAATAATTGTTTCATTTCCAAATTTTTTTCGGTAACTTTGCTATTCATATATCTTTGATTTATGTACTTTTCATTTATTTCATAGCGTTGCTGCTCTTGTACATGTTTTTTTTTTAATTTATTTAAATGTGCCACATTCTTGACTGATTAGTAAGCGAACTTTGCGCTCAACCACCTCACAAATTCACACAACTCGTACAGTAATTTCTGCCATACATACATACGTGTATGCACATATTGCCAACATACATATATACATATGTAACGTACATACATACATGCACATATTCACGTATTGGCTCGTTTATAATTATTAACCAGCAGATAATGTGGAAAACGATCGTGAAGCACTTTCAGCTCAGCTCAGCTCAGATTGTGGCGCTTTTGCCGCGGACATGCAGTAGCTTTGAAATCACTTATCACTAATTCGAAACGAATATTCTTTCGCAAAAAATGTATGGCCATATTTATTTACATAGACGCAAGCAAACACACACACACACACGCATACCTGTAATCATATTCATATAATCGGAAACAGAAAAACAGAAAAACAGAAAAAGACATACTTTCTTTCGACACAAATCGCAAATACTTCAGCTCACTCTTTTCGGCTTAATTGAGCATGCAACAAATTATTTCAGTTATTTTCTCAGCTTGTTTCGAATAACTTTTATTACACATTTATTTGGTTTGAAATTTGCGACCACTGATATCTCAAGCATTCCGAAACATCGTCTGGCACATTTCTGTTGAGTTATTTTATTTTATTTTGTTTTAATAAATTTTATTTTATTTTGCTTTACATCATTTCGTTGATTTTATATATCGATCATTTGATTTTAGATTGTTTTATTTTAAACTTTTTTTGTTCTTGTTAATTACAGAATGTTTGTATTTAACTACGAACGTTTGAAAGAACTTGACCGCTTCGCTCAGCGCCGTAAACCGAACTAAACCCAAAAGCGCCGCGAAACAACAATTTTTCTCTGCCGAATACGAAAAAGATTCCTGAGTCTCTGCCAAACACGTATACATATACTCGTACATATATCTATAAATATCTATCTGAGGGCGGCACTAAAAAGTTATTCGAAACAAGCAGGGAAAATGAAAATCGTTGAAATGCACCTGGGCATCTGTGCTTCGAGTTTGGTTGAAATATTTCAAAAACTGAGGTACAGGCGAACACGGCAAAATCAACTATCTTCATTCTGACCCGATCGGAATAAATTTTGTCAGCTTACTCATGTAATTTTCTATGATTTTGGATCTTGATCAGATGAGGTCTCGAACCCTGGTTGTCGGAATATATTCGCTCTATAAAGGCAAAAATAAAAAAATACAGATATTTTTCTCCAAATTCAACATTTTTGGATTGAACACTAACTTTTTTGGACCATCCTAATATACTCGTGCATACATAAGAAATATATCAGTCTCGAACTGCGATCGTCGAATACCTGTTTTTGCCAGCAAGACTTTCGCGTGCTCGTGTTTGTATTGAACGAAATATGCATGTGTGTGTGTGTGTGTGTGTCTGTATGAATCTGAGTATCGACGAGCAGGGCAAATATTTCTTGGGATGCCTGCTGCTGCTGCTCCCAAATACCAGCTACCAGCTACCAGGTAGCGTTGAGGAGATACTCAACGCCATCGTTGTTGTTCGGTCGTCGTCGTCGTCGTCGCCGTCGTCGGTGTTAGTTTATTGAAAACGTGATTTTAGATTGGAATGCGCTATTTTGTTGATAATTTCTAGATACATACATACATACATACATACATACATACATACATACACACATACAGACAGACACAACTTTGGTTTTATCGTCAATGTATGTAAGTAAGAAGTATATATATATAAATATATTCATGTATGTGTGTATGTGCGTGTGCTTGTGAGCATGTAGGCAGATACAAATTATATACATACAGACTCACATACGCACATACTCGTATCTATAAAAATGCTTGTCTGTACGTACATATGTACATATGTATGTGTGTAAGTACATTCTCTTTTCGGATATGGCAAGAGCCTTTTGGGGGCTCCTCAGTACAGGAGGTACAGTGTTTGCGGAGCAGTCGACACCAGCACCAGCGCCCGCGTCAGCACCAGTGTTTCAATTCAAATATTTATTTGCTTTTGTAGCTTTTTTTTGTTTTTTTGTTTGCTTCTCCACATTTTTCATGCCCGCCGAATATTTTGTGCGATCGAATGTACACACACATACACACATACATACATACAAACATACATACATACGTACATAGGAAATATGTGTGCAAGTGGCGGCGCGGCGTTGGTGTGTATTGGCTAGTGGCTGGAGGTGTAGTTGGAGCTGGAGCATTGCCAGCGTAGACATTTGAATGACCATAAATTTAAATGGGGTATCGTATATTTTCTAATTGGAATGCGGCAAATGTTTAAGCCCGGTGTAAAGGCTGCGTAAGCGGGTGTGGCGTGGCCACAACCTGAAATGCCGATTTAATGCGATCTTGTGTACAAACCGACCGACACACCGAATGTTAGCTTGGTGGCTATGCATACCTTCATTCAGATATACACACTTAAGTATTTATCTATGCGGTACAAGTATGCTTATGAATTTATTTATTTATTTACTCGTACTCGTACTCGTACGAACGGGTATGTAGATATGCATATTAAGCTCGCTTCGCGAATACACACATTCACACACATGTGTATTTGCATGCATATCTAAGACTGAAAAACAATAGAAGTTTATGACAAAAATATTTATTCATTAGTTTAGTTTAAAAAATATTTTCGATTGGCTGAAATGCGCAGATTGAACGCGACCTCAGGGCTTCTACTGGCAATCGATACCAAGTCACAGCGAAATTGTATTTAGCTTGATCTTGAGCAATCTGGACCTTGGGAAATGGGTCGGTGGAGGTTACACGTATTTCGATTCTTACCAAAAATAGGGCTGGCTTCTAAATAATGCATTCTTCTAGAACCCACATCACAACAGTACACATTGACGGGCTTACCGAATACTTGGTCAGCAACGGAGAAAGAGAGACAATCTCTCTCAGCTCTTACACAGGGGAAAAAGTTAATAATTCTGGCATTTCATTTAATGAATTTTTGTGTGAAACAAGTTAGGAAATCAAAATGAAAATCAACGTAATAGTACTAGGAATGTGAAGGCCCTTAGTGGTTCGAACCATTTCGTGTGGTTTACAAAAGCACCGATAATACCAATTTCTGCAGAAGCCAGCTCAAAGAGACAGTCAAAGAAGTGCTTCCGGAGAACTTGTGTTCAATAGACTAATCCTCTTCTTAGTCCCTGCCGCTAGGGCGAAAAATCATTACAATAATAACCCATTATTTGCCCCTTAAATCCCATTTAGCGGTGACTGGTTATTACATCTCTCGTTAGGCTTATAGAGCACGGGTCCCGAAGGACAAGCTAAACTTGAAAGGAAGGTGACCAGTTACGAGAGGAAAGTTGTGAGATGTAATTTAATTTTGTAGCTCTGAGTATATCAGAATATATATGTAAAGGACACATAATCGGATCAGAGCTGACTTTTCATTGAATTGGAATTCGGACTTGGAAACAAAAAGGTTTGCCGAGCTCCTATTGAA